AAAAAAAATGCATTTTGGGTGGTGTGTGGCTCAGTGTCTGTGGGCAGCAGAATACTTGCATCAGCACTGGGGCCTCAAGCAAGATTTTTGCCCTTGGAAACTGCTCCAGTGGCACCAGATAAATGCTCAGAGCCCGAGTGTTGTTCTCACCTGTTTATGTGTGTGTATCTCTGCGGAGGACAAGATGGGATATGCGGAAACGAAAAAAATCCTGTCATCTTTATTGTTATCATTATCATATTGTTTGTTAAAAGGGCTCCCCAAAACAATTAATGAATTGACAATACAAAGCTTTGTAGACAGTGTGGAACATTCGTGAGTTACAATGTGTGTCCCTAAGGATTGCAGTTCATGGAAGAAATCTCAGGTGTGGGACATTTTGTAAATATTTGCTGGACATGGCAAAGACAGGGAGCCAAGGCAACACGGCAGTGGGTCAAAGGTTTCCTTGGAGCCAGTGTTTCTTCTTACTGTTGAAAGCATCAATGATCATAACAATGTAATTTAAATATCATTGATGTCTTTCAGTGTTAATTTCTGTTTCTGCACTATTATACATCTCTTTTATTACTTATTGAGTATTAATCTGATTTTTCTCACATTTAAAACTTGGAAGATTATTAAATTTTTATGTTGCAATGAAAAAGCAGCCAAGGCACACTTCAAAACTGAAAAAGATTTCTTTAAATCAGTTGTATGTATTGCCAGTTCATATATAACAATATAAACAAAGCTGTTAGGGTTTGAATCCGAGCTCTACAGTGTGTATGATGTTTGCATGTTGTCCCTGAGTCAGACTGGCTTGTTCCCACAGCCCAAACACATGCATGACTGTGTGTGACCTGTGATAGATCCGTATCCTACACCCCAGCCTTGTGTACAGCTTCTGTACAGCTGGGAGAAGGCTGTAGGCCTCACTATGTCCCTGACCAGGATATGTGGTTAGGATTTCAATGCAGATAATGTTCTTTAATCCATATATGCTATTCGATTCATGTGGGATGAGATCGATTGTCCAAGTCTAACAGAACATTTGGTGGTGGAGAAAAACAGCAAAAGCACCACACCACAAAGGACTTTATATTTTGAAGCAATTAAAGCACAATTGCAAACAGCTGAGTCATATTGGCTTGAATGCCATTTAGCAGCATGTCTCAGCTATAGAGGAGGTCTGACAGTCAACATTTCCATATGTGAGCGTGCAATGCAACATTTCAAGGTGATCCGAAGAGTTCCAAAGAAGCCAAAAATTCAATGCCCAAATCACAGTGACAAAAACGGTGATATTATTAATATGAATATTAATATTATCATCATGGCAGCATATGCCAAACATGAACAAGATGTATCGAATAAAGGGAAAGGTTTTAGCTGAAAAGTAAAGCTCATTGACGTGGATAAAAGGACACATTCAACAATAGAATAGCTACTAAACATAACAGAGTGGAATCACTGAATCAGCACCTCTGTGACCCAGTCGAAACAAAAATGTTACATATTACGAGTTTCACGAGGCTATGAGGAGCACAAAACCCGAAAAAAAGACTGTATAATTTGATCTTTTACCCTTCTTCTAGATAAGTTTACATTTGGGCGAAAACTAAAGAATGCACTCATTCCACAATGAATCGTGATGGGGAGGGCATCTCATGGGGGTTATCAGCTATTTACGGGAATGATAGCCCTTTTCATTAGTTCCTTGATACTGATATGTTTTATTAAGTGTTTCCATCATTTTGTCCACCTCCTGTATAGACTAGACTCTGGATAACATCGATCATATCATATTGCTTCTATCTCTCATTTTGATACCCAAACAGGGTATGAAGGGGTATAACTAATTCATGAACAGTGTTACATAACTGTACTGCAGAATAGTGTGTGCAAGATACTCAAACATTAATGACAGGGACAAAGTGGCTTTCTGTTTGTTCTCAGCCATCTTGGTTGCTACTGGGGCAACAAGAGGCCAAGGAAACCCACCCTGAGCACTTGACCAGTCCTAACATCTCCACTCAGTTTCCCTGCTTTTATTTTAATATAAGACTTAGGTCCTTCAATGAACTTCTGTTTTCTGAGTGCCTGTAGATCCTATAGTACCCTGAGCAGCCCACAGCCTTTGGAGAACCGTAGTCACTCAGGGTCTTCAGAAGCTCTTCAGAAGATCCTCTACATGGTGTATCCTGATCTCTGTCTTTCGAGGTTACAAACGGTCACAAAAATACAAAATATGGATGAACAATATTTATGTGTTTGGTAATGTTGTAGATTTACCTAAGAATCAAATGCAAATGACCAAGGCTATCTGATTTGGCCTGGGCCATTGGAGAGGCATAGATACCCTAGCAGATTGGGGGGGGGGGGGGGGTCAGCACTTGACAGGGGCACTTGAATATGTGAAAATATATATAAAATCAGGTTGGAGGGCCCATTTTGTCAGGGGGCTCAGAACATCTAGGCACGGCCCAGAGTAGCACATGTTGTGAATACACATGCTCACTTAATTGTGCTTTATGTCACACCATTATTCTTACCTTACTTGTTGTATTTGTCATCAATGAAATAAACACCTCCCCTCCCCCCACATGCAGAAACATAAGTATTCAACTGGGGAACCTGACGCTATGAGGGTGTGAAGAATGTTGCCCGCATTTCCTTGTAATTCTACACTCACAGATCTTCAGGCTAAGGAGTTGGCAGATGCCAGATGCGTTAAGCATAGGTACCAGGCCGGATATCGCTGCCAAGCTTGTATGTTAAAGTTAAGGGCTCTGATGTTTTTACACATCGTTCCTCACTAGCTTTTTAATTTTGACCTTTTGTTTCTAATGTCCGTCTACTTGACTGGCTCGTACCTCAACACTGAGGCAAGGACTCCCAGATTACTGCTGTTAACCACCTGCTACCGACGGCCGGTTACCGTCCACTTCCGAGATTCGTATAGAAAACATACTGTAGAAAACAGCATCTGTTCTATTTCCTCTGTGTTTGCCAGCGGCAGACAGCCCATCATGCAGTTATTTACGCCTCCGTCCGGCACCTCTCACTGCTCTCACTGCTCTCACTGCACGACAGACTCTCATAAAAAAAATCATGGAAGTTCTCCACACTTCTCATCACTGGACTTGTCACGTCCCTTTTGTGAAAACTCGTAGATGCTGAAAATAAGCAGCATTTTAATACATAACTGGAATGAACATTTACTTTAAAATGCTGTTTTTTATGCATGCTGTCTGCAAATCCATCAGTAATATAACTGACCTGTGTACTGAATAAAGTTAGGAAGTACATAGGGACAATAACGCAGACGCCATTTTTTACTGGATTTATAGACTGGATTTATAGACTGGACAGACACATATGCAAAACGTATCACTTTCCCTAACAAAATGTATTAGTTTTGTCTGTCATGGATATTTTCAAGGTTCCCCATTCAAAGTGGAAGAAGGAAATCGGTTAATTGCAGTTGTCCTAATGCATGAAAGCTCAACACAGTTGACTGTGATGAATATGATAACTGAAATGGTTTTAACGTATCTGCTTAGTTCAAGCTTTTGAATTCAACTTGAGTTTCAAGTACTGCAGTAATCTGGAAACCAATTCTGGATGACCGTCACACACGCCCATTCTTCAGGAAAAGGCAGTGACTGGGGGAGCGTCTCCTTAAACTTGATTTCCATCCATTCATCCATCCATCCATTTTCTGACACCCTTTGTCCTATTCAGGGTTGTGGGGGGTTCTGATCCTATCCTAGAGGCTATGGACACAAGGCAGGGAACAACCTAGGATGGGATGCCAACCCATCGCAGGACACACTCACACACCAACCACTCACACGTGCACATCTATGGGCAGTTTGATCCATGATAGATCATTCAAATCTAAAAATTCTAATCAATGACATTGATTGGCTGTGTTTGCAAAGTGCCTTTCCCCCCCCCCCTTTCGGCATCCAAAGGGAGACCATCAGCTCCGGCTTCTGTTCACTCAGCTCCTGTCGAAGGACTTTGTTTGAAACTAAGAGGTTGGAATAAGGATTTTGCCAATTTTGTTTTCTCTGCTTTTGTTCACAGAAAAACACAAATGCTGTCATGTGTGAAAAATGACGAGTAATTTCTGACCCCCGTATGAAAATTAATAAGAGGAGAGTGGGCTATTTTTTATGAGTCAGACTGGTTTTATGACTCAAAATAGATGCTTGACGAGCCTCCCCTTTGTGAATGCAAAAGAATCTCTCCGCCTGAGGTCTGATCAGAATTACAATGATTGTGCTTGTGCTGTGCTGCCAGATCCCCACTGGTTTGCTGATGACATGTACGGCTCCCTCCATTCACAACGTGACAGAGCTTGTGCTGGCGGTGCCACAGAACCAGAACCACGACCTGCCATGGCCCCAAGCTGTGACACACACAGGCATGCATGCAGGTACGCACACACACACACACACACGCACACACACATATACACATACACAAGTGTTGTTTTCTTATTTTTGTGGGGACACTCTTTTCATTTCTATGGGCATAACCTTAATCCCAACAATGACAACCTTAACCAGCCCTAACCTTAACCATAAACAAACAAAATTCAAGATGTTTGACATTTTTAGTTTTTTGATTGCAGTCACAGATTTTTTTTTATAAAATTGAGATCCCCCTTGTATGAACTGGAAAAAATGTCCCAACAAGGTCAAAATAGCAGGTTTTTACCCCATTGTGGAGACATTCAATTCCATAATGTAATATATACTGTACATGACCATACACACAGTGACCTGTACTCATATCTTTGTGGGGACCACCCATTCATTTCTATGGGCAAAATCCTAATCCCAACAATGACAACCTTAACCCCTATCCAGCCCTAACGTTAACCCTAAGTTATCAAACAAAATACAAGTCTTTTGGCATTTTTAGTTTTTTAAAATAATGCAATGTCACAATGTAATACATACATGACCCCCCCCCCCCCCCCCCACCCACACACACACACACACACACACACTATGCAACTGCTGTGTTGGTGCACAAAGACAGCCATGCATTACTCACGTTGCTTAAATATAATCCACAGAAACAGGGTCAGGAAATAAGATCAAACGTGAATCTTGCCTGTCAATCACCAGCTATGAGTTTGGGCAGGAGCTTCCATGGCCTTTGAACTTTTATAATGAGGAATGAGTGTGTGAGATGCCATAACAACGAGTTTCAGATCAACGCCCACAAATAAATCATGTCAGTGTAACTGCAATGTCATATCTGCGCATTTTAACCAAATGTACAGACTGCAATTCTAACTCCATTGAATACTGATTAATTGCAACTTTAAACTTTAAGTTTAAAGCTGTTGCAGCAGAATCGGCATCTCCAAATTAAGCAATTGAGTTTTGAAATCTGCGGAACTGGTGGCTTTGTTCATTATGTGACTTTTTAAAGAATGGAATTTGAACTGAAACTGGGTCAAAGGGTATCTAGTTGATCTCTAGTTTACATACTTAGTAAGTTTACCATGAGAAAGACACAGTGTGGCCGTAACAGGAGTAGTCAGGTTAGGGTTAACATTAATTGGCACATTAAAATGTACAGACTAATAAAAGTTTACACCTGGCTTTGGATAAACATTACAGGTGCTTTGACTGTAACTGCACTTCTTAATGTTTTTTTACTAGAAACTGACCCTAAATGGATAGAGGCCCACGGCAGGAACCCCTCCAATACAGTTTCTGTACAATGGTATTTATTTCAGTAAAAAGAACAAAAGCTGTATCTATGTGATTGGTATACACTGACAAAGACCAAAAGCTATATCTATGTGATTGGTATATACTGGCAAAGACCAAAAGCTGTATCTATGTGATTGGTATATACTGGCAAAGACCAAAAGCTGTATCTATGTGATTGGTATACACTGACAAAGACCAAAAGCTATATCTATGTGATTGGTATACACTGACAAAGACCAAAAGTCGTATCTATGTGATTAGTATACACTGGCAAAGACTAATAGCTGTATCTATGTGATTGGTATACACTGACAAAGACCAAATGCTATATCTATGTGATTGGTATACACTGACAAAGACCAAAAGCTATATCTATGTGATTGGTATTCACTGGCAAAGACCAATAGCTTTATCTATGTGATTAGTATACACTAGCAAAGACCAATAGCTGTATCTATGTGATTGGTATACACTGGCAAAGACCAATAGCTGTATCTATGTGATTGGTATACACTGACAAAACTAATAGCTGTATCAATGAGAATGGTATACATTGGCAAAGACCAATAGCTGTATCTATGTGATTGGTATACATTGTCTTGCATGGAAGGCTTTAAACTGTGAGTAGACAATTTCCAAAATCATTTAAAAAATTGATATAATTAATAAGTGCATTTTCATTCACAAATAGTGCCAATGGTAGCTAAGCATGTTCTACTGGTTATTCTATCTGGACTTTTACATATTCAGCTTAGAACAGGGAATTTGACTCAAATGTTTCAAGTGTAATTTGAATTGATTATGGAATTTCAAATATCTATCTATCTATCTATCTATCTATCTATCTATCTATCTATCTATCTATCTATCTATCTATCTATCTATCTATCCTATGTTACTACCAGTTATTCAGAACTATAATATCTTATTATTTCCCTTGCAGATCAGAAACTTCACATATGTATCTACTGAAAGCTGATAATGAAGCCTAATGAAGAGCGTCTCTGAAGGAACAGGCACAGTTAAGATCAGACCTTGCTTTGGGAAGCAGGAATGTCATGCAGGCCCAAACACTGGAGAACCCCTGCTTGCACAAGCAGCCAAAATTGGCAAAGTAGACCTCATCCCAGCTATTTTCAAACTTGCTGCTCTCTTGCATGAAGTGTGTCTATTCACAGGTCTGTCTGGCACCCTCAGAGAACTCCAGGTTTTAAAGCCAGTTAGGCAGAGCCCCAGCTTTTACTGGAATTACATCACTGCTCACTGTAAAACCGACCAGATAGTACCCTAGCTTTTATCGATATTACATGACTACTTACTCTAAAGCCAGCTAGACAGTGCCCCAGTTTTTACTGGAGTTACATCACTGCTCACAGTAAAGCCTGATAGACAGTGCCCCAGTTTTTACTGGAGTTGCATCACTTCTCACTGTAAAACCCAACAGATAGTGCCCATAGTTTTTACTGGAATTACGTCTGGACAGTGTCCTGCCCACTGCACCCAGTTAAATTAGGACTCAACACAACCTAACACATTACTTCCATAATTGGGCAACAAGAGGTCAATAAACAAATGTATCTCCAGACAAAAACAATGAGATTAATGGCACAGATAAAATAATAACATGAAAAAGACATATTCTGTCCTTCCATCCATCCATCCATCCATCCATCAATTTCCTATACCTGCTTGTGGAAGGCTTTCAATATTTATTTAAAAAATTATATGTTATAAAAAGTTAAACACAACGTAATACTACAGCTGAAAAACAAACCTGGAATTCAATTTAAAATACAAAAGTAATAAAAAGAACTGAAGTAATATGTAAAAATATGGCAATTAATTATAACTGTATATTGACAACATTATCCATTTTCTAATCAATTTGCTTTCTTTCTTCATGGTCCCCAAAAATATGCTTCACACAAACATAAACGGATAATTCTCACTATCGGCCATATTCCAGCTTGTTGACTTTGTGTTCCTCCGTGTCCTATGGCACTGCGGTTATCTCATTTCCTGTCCGTCCCTCTCACTGTCCCCCTACCTATCCTTCCCCTTGTCCTAGTGCCTGTCCCACTGCGTATGTATTAGTTTTGTCTGTCATGGATATTTTCAAGGTTCCCCATTCAAAGTGCCTTTACTTCTCATTGTCCCAGTGTCTGTCCTTAGTACTGTCCCTCTGCTCTGTCCCCCTCACTGTGCCACTGAATTTGTAGCCTGTTGTCTATGACTCGGACTGTCCTTCACACTGTCCCGCTGCCTGTCCCTCTGAGAGTTCCTCTGACTGTCCTGGGAGCTTCCCGGAGCTGGCTGAGCCTCAGTCGCCTGTCCCGAGGGCTATCCTGAGGAAGACAGTCGGGTATCATCCCTGCACTTCTATCGGCGCTCAGCTGGATCGCAGGCCGCTGTGACGCCACCACCTGTAACCCTGCCTGGGTCACGTTACGACAGAAGTCGATCTGTACGGTCCTCAGGGCAGAGCCGTAGGTGACGATGCCATGCAGCAGAGTGTCGGTGATGCGCACGCAGTTCTCCAGGCGCAGACGGCGCAGGGCTGCGCAGCTCCGTAGGACGCCAACCACATCGTCGTCTGTGATGTGACCACAACCTGCCAGTGTCAGAGAGGTCAGGTTTGGACACCTGGAAGCACATAACAGGACATAAGTAGTTATACCAAGCGGGTCGCATTTAAAAAGAACACCAAGATCAAGTGCAAAACTGCGTAATCAGTATTTAAGAAAAAATTGTTAAATCATCCTTTGTAACGTTATTTAAACACTGGGAAAGGTTTTAACTCCCCCTGGAAAAACGTCTGCAAATGTATAATATGAGTCAGTGCTGCTTAATGGGTGTGTCTGTTTCAGGTGCATGCATGTACTGCAGGATCACACAGTGGCAATGCTGCCACCTAGTGGTGGGAAATAGGACTGTCTGAACAGAATGCTACCTTCCTGCTCTGGTTTAGATAAAGCATTTTACTACTGATGGAAAAACATGGGGTGGCAGGGGTATTACTGCCAGTTATAACATGGTGGGGACCAAGGAAGTAACCATTAGGAAATGTTGCAAACTACTCTAGAACTCATGATGCATGATTATCCTGCTCATTTCATTCAATACCCAGGGGACTCAATCGTAAAGCAGTGCCAAGCCAATGGCTGCAGAGACAGATACACAGAGTCACAGGTCTGGACCGTGAGTCTGCTGAAGGGATCAGAGCACCTTTCTCTGAGGATATTGGGTGGGGCTGGCTTTGCAAGAACAGCTGACACGAGCCTGTCAGCGTTTGTGGGTGAATTTACACTCCTGAACAAAACCGGATTAACAGGCTTAAGATAATTGTACAGGAATGGTGTAAAATGCCCCTCCTTAACCTTTGGTGCAAGGTTCATTTACGTTTATATGTGTATATGAAGCAATGGGAGGCAGTAAAATGTTATATGATCGATAAGAAGTCGTGCTTTTCACAGCTTTCGGCAACAGAGGAAGATTTATGACACTTAGCTTTACCTTGGTACATCAGCATGAGTAAATCTTTCAAATTAGGTATCTTTGTCTCTGTTGGGACCATCCGTTCATTTCTACGGGCAAAATCCTAATCCCAAGTATGACGACCTTAACCCCTACCCCGCCTTAACTTTAACCATAAGTAACCAAACAAAATACAAGACTTTTGGCTATTTTTGGTGTTTTATTGCATTCACAGAATTGAAAAATTGTCCCCACAAGGTCAAAATGGCAGGTTTTTTTTATCACATTGTGGGGACATTTGCAACACAAAATTGAATCACATCGTTTGTTGCATGAACTGGACTTATGTTAAATATGGAAGATCAGAAAATTGCTCTTGGCTTCATCTGCCTGTGAAAAATAAAATATCTTCACTATGTTATTTCTTCCCAGCACCTGGGCAATAAGCAGGAAGAGAACTGTTGTGTCCCAAAAAGAAGAGGAATGTCACCACATCAATAGCACTAGTTGCCCAGCCAAAGACAGTGAGTTTCTATGGAAGGAACCTGGGAATAGCTGTCCCCAGTGAACAGTTATATCCCTATAACACTGAAGTATGCAGTGTAGCTTCAACAAAAGCTGTGAATGTGCAGGCATGAAAATATAATATATGAAGCAGACAATATGAAGTAAAAATACCTGCAAATGATCAAACAGGAAGTTGAAAACAGAATGAATGAAGGAGGACCAAACTGCATGTCCAGACAGGAAGTTCACACAGCAGGGTGAAGGTTAGAGAGGTGTGTGCACTCACGTTTTGCATACGCGAGCCAGGAATGCACTGACCAGCCCCTCATGTCTGCTGCAGATGTCCTTCTGAAAAGTGGTCTTCATCCAGTCTTCGATGTTGCAGACCTTGACCCTGCTGGAGTACCAGCATATGGACAGGTAGCGCAGTGAGGCCCCCAACAAAAAGTTACACTTATTCAGCTCACCCGGCGAGTGGAAACGCAGCAAGGGCCACAGGCCTGGTTCCAGAAAGACATCTCTGAGGTGGAGACACGTCAGCGACAAGCTCAGGCGACTATCCTTGTCCAGGAAGGAGAAGAGGTGGAGTAAGCATTCACGGTTAAGCTGTGTGATGTGCATGCTGAGCAGGTAGTGGTCGTACTGACTGGAGGATGGCCTGGGCAGACGGTACGGCAGCGTGTCAGCGGTCTGTGTTGAGTGGTTTGGCTGTGTTATCCCAGCAGAGGAGCACCGAGAAGCCCTCTGCACATATAAGGCCGGGAGAAGGATGACTATTCCTGGAGGACAACTGGCAGCCAAGTCAAAAATGGAAATGTGTGAGACACAGGGCCCTGCAATCTGTCTCAGCTGCCCCACCGGAGGAGCTTGTTAGGATAGGGGGGGGCAGCAGCAGGGGCAAATGTTTAGAAGACCGCGATTTTCAAGGGAAGTGGGCTTTTCATTTCAGAAAGAATATCTGCATGTTTTCATGCTCTGGGAGGAAACCCTCAAAAACATTTTGATAGCATCAAAATGTCAATTCACATTTAAGTTGATTTCTCTTCAACATATGTGTAGGTATACCTGCCAAAAAGTTATTTGCATTATCTTTCCTGTTCAAGGGGCTTCTCCCAGCTTCCCAGACCTACGTATAACTTTGGCTGCATGTTTGGAATGTTTTAAATAATCTAATGCGACTGCATAAATAATGTGATGCGAATGTTTATAAGACACCACTAGAAATAGTTTAACTTGATATACTTTGGTAGTAGAAAAATGCCATCACAAATTAATTTTATTTTCACCCAAAAAAACAAACCTAAAGACACAGCAGTGGTACCTCCCACATAACCAGACATGTGACGGTTAGTGATTTTTAGCGGAAAGTGGTGTGGTAAATTCCGACACAAACATCCTAGAATGAACCACAGATATTTTGGGCGCAAATGAACCTTTGGAGTATTTTTTGCCCATTTTTCATTCTGTGAGTGTAGTTTACACAGTTTAATGGCTCTTCGGAGCAGCTGTGAGTCGCATGTGCTGCTAAGAGCGGTAATGGACATTTAACACCGACGGGAAAATGACGATTGCCTTATTCTCTTACGCCGGCCCTGTGGGTGGCTGGCAACAGCTGTCTCTCCTCCGACAGGGGATTGCAGAATCCCGGTTCTGTGCAAAAGATTGTTTATAACAAAACATTGCGCAGATGTGCATTCCTCAAAATATGTACTTTGATCAATTTAGAATATCATTTTATGAAAATAAACCTTGTTCCCGCACTCTGGCTTGGGGTGTAACGCTGCTAATGTACACCACCAGCAAAGGGCTTTTAAATCCCATCTGTGCTCTATGTGTGGAGTTTGCATGTTCTCCCCATGTCCTGTAGGCGTCCTCTCAAAGTCCATAGACATGCAGTTAGGCTCACTGGTGTTACCTGTATTGTGTACAGTATGTGCCCGATGACGGCCTGGCATCCTGCCCAGGGGGTAACCCCAGCCTTGGGCCCTGCCTGCACGGGTCAGCTGCAGGTAACCCTGACCAGGGTAAGCACACATCTACAACTGCTGGTGCTATCTTAGGTCAGTGGGCCATGTCTAAAATAGCACGTGCATATCTGCGTCACTGATTGGCTCCAGTGAGGGTGTGGCTGTTTGACTGCCCGGAAATTGTGGCTCTTCTTTCCCGCTTCCAGGGCCCAAGATTAAGGTGTTTGAAGAGCAGGGAATAAAAGGCTGTTAAGAGCTCTTATAAAGGTCAGGATGGTGAGCATCTTCTACTTCACCAGGGGAAATATTTCTGTTTTTAAGGGGTTTTATCCTATATGGAACCTCATACCTTTCAAACGGTTTATAATTACACATTTTCAGAGTCTCTCTGAAAGCATGCTAGCACTGTACAATTTCCCTGGCTGGAAGGCTTCCTGCAGATGGATTTACAGTAAATCTCTACTAGCTGCTTTTCAGCTCTGTGCCTTAATACAAACCCCAGGCATGGGGCTTTAAACCAGTCTGTGAATCATTAGCCAGCTTTAGCGAAAACAGTCAGGTGAGATTCAGAGGACGGCAGTGGGCAGGAGTTTCCTCTGGAGTAGAACTCACGACTGACAAAGTGAAGCTAAAAAAAAAAGCAAATCAGAGCAACTGTACTGTGAAGACAAGAGTGAGTCAGACAGAGAAGAGGGACCCTGAAGTAAGAAAACAGCATGAAGTTGAAGTTCTACCAGAAAAGACACCAGAACTCTCTCCTTGTGAGGAAAAAGGAAGTATCCCAAATCATAATCATATTCCCGCATTTAAAGTATTAGAGAGACAGATCAAATAAAATCATTTAATAATTGAGATTTTATGCAACTGCTGTGGGTTGGCGCCCCATCCTGGATTGTTCACTCCCTCTTGCTCAGCGCCTCCGGGATATAGGATCCAGACCCCCCATGAGCCTGAACAGGATAAGCAGCTACAGAAGATGAATTTATGGATGGAAGGTTTTCATGCAAAAATATAGCTTTTTTATGATTCATACAAACCTTAGGGACTGGTAGCGTCACATTGTGTTTAGAGCAAATGATTTGAGAGCTAAAGTAAATGATCCAATACTCTCGTTACGCAGACTGTTCACAACCGACATTTACATGCTCTCGATAGAAACCTATATGTCAGAAACATGATCGCTTAGCGATTACTATGAGATTACTTATTCATTAGGAACATCAGAATGTTAGAAATAAATGTACGTAGGCTGGGACATTTATATTATTGTGGAATCCTATTTAATGCTGGAATTAAATTGTCTTAAAAGACTAGCCATAGCCGAAAATGAGCCAGTGAGAAAGATTGTTACAAGCTCACTATGGGAGATCTCAAGCCACAGTTTTTTTTTATTTTTAATTTTTTTATTGCCCACCACCACCCCCTCTCTTTGGAGGACAACTTTATTTTACATTAAATTCAAGAGTAAAGAGTGTGGCCGCTCCGAACTCACCGGTCCTAGTACCGTGATTATAAAAAATAAAAATAAGAAAGGGGGGGGGGGGATACAGAAACAACAATCGTAACAATAACAGACATTAATCACCTTGGGGAGAGGGGGAGAAAGAAAAAAAAAAAAGGAAAAAAGAAAACAAAGGTATACAGAAATAATAATAATAATGTAGGTGGGATGGAGAAAATTAAGTGTAGGGGAATACAGAATACAAGAACCATACTTTTTTTCGCATGCTGTCCTGTCGACAGGCTGACGTAATCAGACAGGCAGACTAGTGTAATGGAGAGAGCTCAGCAGTTTGATTACGGAACTGCTTCCAAACCTGGCAGAGCAATTTGTGTTCCCTTGCTATAATCACAGAAGCAAGTAGAAACGTGTTCTCCCTGAACATTGTACCAATGGTGCCTTAAAACAAAGACGCTAACTCAGACATGCCATTCTCACAGAGGATCATGACGATATGCAGTCACAGATGTTGCAAGCAAATGAACAGCTTTACTACCCTAATCGTAAGGGCGGCCAGCACCCCACAAATGTTTGTCATTACTTTCCTGGTGGTCCATGTTTTCAGCCAGGATTTGCTAAGACTCAAGGCCCATGTTTTGGCCTGAGATGAGAGAAGGCACGACTGCGTATGTGCCGTTATCCGGCAAGTACAGCTGAGTCAACAGGAATCGTTTGGTCTTACGGTGACTACTGTTGTGACTCACCATTAACTATGCAAGGGACGTGTGTCTGCATTATACTGTAGGTACATACCACCATTACTGAATGAAAATGTAGCAGCACAGATTTACATGATCTCTCATAATGGAGTGGTGAAACAGCTGAACAGTCTCCAGATATGCCTAGATCTTCCATAATTGACTTGATCAAGAACATACTGCAACCTCTTTGGATGAAGTTTCAAGAGAGCCTATTTGGTATAATGCAATATGACTTAGTCAATAATGCCACACACACGCGTCACATTATCTCCTAACTGTCTGTATCTTTACAGCCCTATAGCCTTGTGCTTCTACTATTTTAACGAGTTTAATATTTTCATTACGAGCACAGATGGTTTGATTTTTGCATTATAATCATTATTTTCCAAGAGAAGTAAAGGCGGCTCATGTGTTACATTAATAACAGCTGGTGCTCAGCCAAGGACATTGTTGACACACACTGCTCTCTAGATTTGATATTTTTAATGTTAAAATGCCATTAATGGCTGTATATGTGACCCCAAACCAGTATTGAAATGCACACCTCATCCAATGTGATCCAGAACACAGGTTCCCCATAGGGAGGTGTACAGAGCCGGATGCTTTTTACTCTTCTCACCCATGACCCATCAAATACCCATGTAAAATCTGCTGATCATACAAAGCTAGTCAGACTGATCTCAGATGATGAGGCAGCCTGCAAGAAGGAGGTTGCACACCTGGCTGAGGGGCACAGTGAAAAGAAACTGGTCCTAAACATCAACAAATTATCAACAAATAAAAAAGGTCGTCTCCCCCTCCACATTCATGATGACAAAGTGGAATGTGTGAAGAGTGTTAAGTTCCTAGGAATCTACATAGCAAAGGATCTGACATGGTTAACACCACTCACTTGGTGGGAAAAGCCCAACAACGGCTGTTACTGCGTTCCATTTCAACTGAACTGCTCCCTGAAGCTGGAATTCTAACGTGGAAAGTTGAAGGAACCTCTGCAACCCTGACCTCAGAATTCAAGATGGCTGTGCCCTTCATCAAAAAAATACGCAAAGCTATTATATTCTGTTTATTAGCAATAATGTCTTACTTGGGTTTCATTGAGCTGGTCATACACCCAGTACTGCCCAACCACTATCTGTGGCCATGTTGTGGTGTTTGTATGTGCAAAACACCGTGTAATGTGTTGCTATCAACTGATAACAATAACAATAACAATAGCTAACAATGAGCCTGGCTAGAACTGGGGTCTGCTTCAGAAACCAGTATTTCTTGCTTAGCTGGATAACGTGTCAGATTTAAGGTAGTCTGATGTAAGTGAACGAAGAAAAAAGCCATTTATACTGGAGTACCTTAAATCTGACAGGTCCAGCTCAGCAAGAAATCTTGCTTTTGGGAACAGGTCCATTGTATTCCTAATTGGCTTTCTTGTACTGGAAGATGGTTAACTTGGGTGTGATGTCATTCCCAGTTCCAAATTCCGACCTGCGAGGTAAATAGAATGTAACATATATTTTCTCAGGAAACTGAGAGAGGCCCATATACCTCATCAACTTCTGATCAACTTCTATTGCAGCACCATTGAAGGTATCCTGTCCTGCGGCTTGACAGTGTGGTATGCTAGCAGCCCAGCTGTAGAGTATAAGGACTTGCATCATGTGATGAAGGCCGCCCATTGAATTATCGGGGCTGACTTCCCAAACCTGGACACTGTTTATGCTAGGCGAATGAAGGAGAGAACCATCAACTTCATCAGAGACGTGACTCACCGAGGTCATCATCTGTTTGACCCGCTGCCGTCCAGAAAGCAGTTCAGGGCACTCAGATCCAGGCTGAGAAATGGATTCTCCAGATTTGTGCCTTTCACCACCCCTTCCAAACCAAAAACCCTTCTGGCCTCTCAAGTAGTGTTACACGCATAGTTGGACCCTCCTAGAACTGTCATTTACCAAACCTGCAGGCACTCAATACACACACACTGCTGTTGTAGATTTGTATTTAATTTTTAATTGCTTTCCTTCTGTATAAGGCCACTTTGTACATAATATAGCAACTGACACAAGCGCTGCTCTCCATTGTCTGCGCTTTATTTGGATTTTCCTGTTTTATTGTGTATTAAACTAGTGATTTTCTATTTTCCATTTGTACTGTCATTGTGCTGCACAAGAAGAGGTGTCAAAACAATTTCATTGTGCTAAAGCATAATGTTAACAAAAGCACTCTTATTGTGAAATGAATGGAGCACACATTTTCAGGAGTGCAATAATAATTGAGCTGAGTATCACGTTGTAAAATTACTTGAGTAAATACATTTCCACAGAACAAATTCTTGCTTTTGCCCCCTAACCTAAGTGTTTATCTGCTTAGTTGCTTTGGTCTGAAGAGGTGTACTCTGGGTGTCCCAACTGTCTGAGCATGATAACAGTCAGGATGGTCATTCTGGTAAATCCTCCCTGGACTATGTACTAACAAGTTCTGAATATGTGAAGTGTTATAGCGGTTATTTTGTAAGTCTGATTCAGCTCTGTTGTATGAAATTATTGGAAAAATCCTAATGAGTGAGTTTGTGACGGACGCTACTTTTTATGGACCTACAAAGTGCATGTTCATGTTCAGGACATCACTGCTACAGATAAATCTTCAAAAAATGGAGGCTTCCCTGACGCAGAAACAACATTAATTTTATTGACCAGCAGGTGACAGACATGAGCCACAATACAAAATTGTAACGCTGTAAAAGAATTGGATCTTCTTTTCGTATTTTCATCTTGTGGCACAACATCTTCAACTCCTTTTAAAATAATTTTCCTGTTTATTTTGTGGGAAGCCACAAGCTAGGGCACAACCCATAACAGGTTTGAATATATCTAAATATTGTGAATAATAATGAAATCGATCATTTTTACTGTTTTTATAATTATTGTTTGGTTAATGCAGACATGTGACTGCTAGTTGGATAGGGTGGGAGTTTCTTGTTGTACCATGTGAGGCTGGGGGAGGGTGTGGATTATCTCGGAGTAGGGACAGGGCCTGTCGCCCTCATGCTATCAGTTACAACTGATTACGATGTAAAGCAGACTTTTATTATTGTGAGGAAGAGGCAGAGAAGGACTGGCTTGCGTATTTTCCTGGTCTTTGTGTTTGAGCCATAATAGCCGCCCTTGGTGTTTGCTGTTATTTATTGAATTCGTATTTTTGTAGCACGATAGGGGGCCCAAGGGAAACGGGATTTCAATGCACTGTGCAGTGGCGTTGAAAGGAAATTGGTGGGGACTGAATTCGCCATGGTGGCAGCGGGGGCGGGGGGTGGGGGTGCAGTATGTATTTTGTGATATTGCAATGGGCCAATGGGCACACATGCAATAGTCATATCGCGAATGGATGCGATGTAAGAAAGGTTATAAAATAATTTTAGAATAATAAAGATTTTATCATTTTAAATAAGACTAATACCGTTTTGAGTAGTTTCACAAAAAAAATATATAAAAGATAACTAATCCATGAGATGAAATGCCTGATACAGAAGTACAGTCTTTGTCAAGTCGGTCTATATGTTTCAGTCCTGCACAGCGAATTGGCCTCAGTAATGTGCATATTCGTATTAAAACATAAGGAACTCGCTGTTATTTGTGTACTTACTTATTTTTTGGGAAGAGAGTGGGGGGGGGGGGTCTGCCAATATTTTGGGGGATATTCCCCCTATATCCGATGCCCCTGGCACTGCGTGCTTGCACATGAATGTGTCGATAATTAAGAACTCTTGAGTCTTCTACCATTATCATTTCATTTAACCTTCATTTAGTCAGGCAACACGTTAAGAACGTTATTCATAAGCCTGGCAAGAGCCACAGAACACATGTAGGGGAAGGAAAAGGAATCACAAGAGTGCTGATAGAATCCTGGTTCTGTCACATCAATCTATCTCTGCTTCCACATCTTGAGAGCCCACCACTGTCTGAAGTCTTTGTCATTCATAATTCGTTCCAATGGGGGTTATTCATTTCAGAATATAATTATCAGTTATCATTACACCATTATTAGCACATTTATTTTGCATAATATCTACTTCATTTATTATGTACCCTTCACTGCAGCAGAGTGCTGTTCCTTTTATTTATTAGGACTGTACTGAACATAGCTGGATTTGAAACTAAGCTTGTATCAGGGAGCCATTACACATACATGACAGAACCATAATTAATTGCACTCTGTCTATATGAAGCTTCATATTCTATTAAATTATGTCTCCAGCCCAGCTTGGAATAGAGGCAGAACACTACTGGGTGGCAGAAATGATGTTCCTGTTGACAAATATAGAAAGTAATTTAATCTCGTGGTGACAGCTAAGCGATCATGTTCCTGGCATATTGATAGTTGGTAAACATTAGTGATACGAGATCCTTAACTGCCCTGTCCTTCCCATTAACAGCACATAGATTTCTCAGCTACAAACTATAATTTAACAGCAATTTCACAGATCTGCCCAGAAAACACTAATTATAATCACATCATAGATGTACCACGGTGTCCAAAGGCCACCGAAACAAAAGCTTTCCTACCCAAATTAAACAGCGTTTATTCCATTACTATTGTTATGCCCCCCCCCCCCCCCACCCCACTTACAGTTTTGGGAGGGAGTGACATTTCTTACTACAATGTAGGGAGAAAAAAATAAATTAAACTCAGTTTAGGGCTGGGATCTCTTTTTAAATTTTCAGTTTTATTATTTGTCTTTAAGACTTTATAAGCAGCCAGGATTTAATACATTTTCTGATCAAGGTAAAAGTTTTGCGTTATTTTTCAGCTAAAAGGAGGCTATCAGTGGCATTCAGAAGCATTGCAATTTTAATCATAACCAAAGACCAGCTATTCTTTGGTACTGAGATGGAATATAAGCATTTTACTGTCTCAGTGACAAACATGGATTGTAATTTATTTAGCAATTTATTAGTATATCACAGGCCATTTTTGGAAGAACTGCATTAGAATCTTAATCTTAGTGTAACTGCAGTATTGTATAAACCCGTTGAGCAGTGGAAAAAACAACTGTATCAAAATGTCTTGTCTTGGTTTAACCAGAAGGAGGGGGCCTTAAGTGAGTAAGTTTTGAATAAAAATCCATTGATTTTGGGGGTGGGAGGGAGCCTATGTCAAACACTGACTTAGCAGTACTTCTAAGTAAACCCATTTATGTTATTCACACATCTACCATAGTGGTTATCCAGTTAAAGGTAGCACCCTATCCCGGGGGGGGGAGGGGTGTCAGTCCATCGCAGGACCGGACACACTCTCACTCACACAATGGACAAATCAGAGACACCACTTTGCATTACAGCTTGCGAAGAAACCTGCAGCGAACACAGGGAGACCATGCACCCCATGCAACGGGATGTGGGAGACTGCGGCCGCTCACCTCCCCGGTTCAGGGTGCAAATCCTGACCCCGCACCATGTGAGCGGAGTTTGCAGGGGGTCCCCATCATATGCAGGAATCCTCCGACAGACCAAAGAGGCGAATCCCTGACTTGCTAATGTGCGTGAGTGAACGTGCGCTGCAAAATCTATGCTGGCTGAAAATGGATCCTTGATGTTATTTTTAAAGTGCTTCGGCTGAAATTAAGGCTAAGCAACATTAATGTATAGGAGGAGGATTGGATACTGTATATAATAGGAGAAAAGAAAAATTTCATTACACACCCCCTCCAATTTTTGCACGAAAACAAAGGAAAACACATTACACATTATTAAACTTATTTATTATTCCTATATGTTGTTCAATATAAAAATATTGCCTTAGCGTTTACAATGCTAAAATCCATAGCCGATGTGTCAGGGACACCCTTGGGTGTTTTGCCCCCCCAGGAGCAGCAGTAAATAAATGTTGTAATTTGATTTGTATTAAAAACATTACAGTAGCACAGGGCATCTGGCTGCTAACTAGATACCTCATATCAGTTTTACAAGAAAAATATTTTAAAAATATTCAATTGTGTAATCTCAAAGAATGCAACAGAGCTATATCTTTAGATTTTTTTTTCACCCCCTCTTTTGCACCCCCTGATGAAATAGTGCCCTAGGCGATCGCCTATGTCACCTATAAGCCCCTGGCTAGAATGTGGATGTATTCTTTAGCATGGCATCATAAGCCTGTCAAGCTGTATTTCAGCAGTTATTCCCAAGGCTCCTCTGTACGACCAAATTCATACACCTAGGTTTTCACAGATAGACAGTCAGGGACAATGAAGTTAAACAGAGATCAATAAAGTTAATCTTAAAAAAGACAGTTTAATTAAAAAATGTTCACCTTACAGTATTCTACCTGCCTCCTGTATCCAGAGCTGAATTGCTGCATTACATTCTGGGGCAGTCGGGGACTGTTTTCCATGCAGCACTGTATACCTTGGTTATTAGTGGTAGTTGAATGATTAATTGAGAAGATACAGTTGAGTAACTCTTGAAAATGTGGTATGAAACCATTTCTATCAACCTGTGACTGTGCAGATATAAGGAAAAGGTCCAGTTTCTGTTTCTGAACCATGACCCGACCCTTGACCACTGCTTGTAGCTATTAACATTTACATGGAAAACAGATAACATGTGATTATAAGCATGATTAATTAAAACTACTGCTAATTACTACTAAATCACTCGCTAGATTTACTACTAAAGTTTCTGCTAAATTAGCTGCCTGTTATTGGTTTTCAAGATAATAACGACCAAATACAGATAATAAAATAGAGAAAAGCTGCTTGCTGACACTGGTGCAGTGTACGACTGGTGCTGTGGCAAGGCTGCAGGGATGACGGGGGACGCTTCTGCGTGCACTTCAGCCGCTGCCTACGATACTTCCACAGGTCTGTCATTAAGAGGCACGTCTAAATCTTTTTTAACCTTTGACGCACCATTGCCTCTACAATAAAAGATTATAGAAAAGCACATCATACATTTTATCATTTTAAGCTTTCCAAAAATGAAATAAGTATATATATATATATAAAGCTGCAGTTTCCAGTATGCAGTACATGCAGTATGTGTATAAAATAACTATTTATACGTATATATAAGGATTGAATAATAATAATAAATTGCACATTTCTCTGAACTTTGCACAATCTTCTGTACTTACTTCTTCTTTTTCACAGAAACTACAACCACTATGATAATGATTATTGCTCCCAGAACACCCAGCAAGATTCCAATAATTAACCCTGAAAGGAGACAACTGTTATTTAGCAGTCAAACTTTATAAGATGAATTACACGTTAACTGGATTCAGAACATTCAATGTATCTATATTAGGCATAAGAACATGTCTGCTTACCAACTGGTGTGTCACTCTCATCATCCTCAGGCTTGAGATTGTCAGAACTGGACAAATCTACATATAACAAAAAGGGTACAAGTCTCCAGTCAAAACATGCAGCCTTGTATTAATATAATATAAAAAGATTTTTACAGTTGGTACAGTATATATGATGTATATAATACATACAGTATCATATATGAATAGTCAATGTGTCCCTTTTTCACTTTTTCTGTGTATTTGCACATGTCAATTGGACTAATATAGCATATATTAAGGATGTTGGCTAATATGTTGCTCAGATATCTGCCTTCAGCTTTATGTATTTATCCATGTCACTGTCACTTTAAGGCAACTCACCATGAACCCCAGCACAGGTATTCTCGCAGATTGTTGAATTAATGAATCGATTCCCATTGCCTCCACAGCCAGTATAATAGAAGTTCTTGCATTTCCCAATGATGGGATCATAATACCATAGTAAGTAATGACTAAAGCACTCTCCAACACTCTTTGGGAAGCGGCAGACTTTAGTTTCTGAATAGACCAAACATAGAAAGATGCATTAAAAATACATCCAAAATGGTATATTACATAGGTATTATGATGAATATATCATACGACAGAACAGTATGTAACCTATATTGTGTGGTGTATAACAGAGCCGGGATGATGTATAATGCAGCTGTACGACTATGTATACCGAAACAGAATTGACCTATAACCCAGCTGTGTGATTGTGTGTATCGAAGAAGAATTGACCTATAAAACATCTGTGTGATTGTGTATACCAAAACATAACTGACATATAACCCAGCAGTGTGACTGTAGTATACCAAAACAGAATTTACCTATAACCCAGCTGTGTGATTGTGTGTATCGAAATAGAATTAACCTATAACCTACCTAGCTGTGTTATTCTGTGTACCAAAACAAAACCAAGCTATAACCCAGCTGTGTGACTGTGTGTACCGAAAGAGAACTGACCTATTACTTAATTGTGCAATCGCTTATACTGAATTGGTTTGTCATTACAGTATGTACAGTATACCGAAGGAGGAATGATCTATAAACTAGACTTTCTGGTGTATAACAACTGGAATGGAGTGGACTTAGTGCATAGCATGAATATATCACATATTTTAATAAAGTTTTCATGGACAAGGCCCTATGAATACCTGATTTTTGAGACTTGCATTAAAACCATGCACTCTGGTTATGACACTTCTACCGTTTTATCCTGAAGAGGCACATCTAGCTCATTTCTATCGTTTGACTCACTTTGTATATATATATAATATCCACTCTTCCCAGCAAAAGAACAGCAAGACTTTCTACAGCTCCATGCCTCCCACAGTCTGCCAAGATCCACCGTGTCCCTCAGCCTAATGTTTCTTGTCGAATATATATTTTTGCTCATTTGGACATAATGATATCAAGCTATGCAATCAGTTCTTCTTGATGTTAAAAATACTTTATTGTTTATTAGTTTAATTGACATTAATTACAGACCAAAGCCCATGTAACGATTTTTTATCAGAAAATTCGGTAACAGTCTCCCTGTTGTTCAAATTCTTCTATGCTACTTCAGAGATTTGAGCTTCTGGGTTCCAGGATATTATCAGCACTTTGTTCTCATCTCACACTTTATGGAAGAAACACTCAGTCTGTGGCTGTGGTTCCTACACCACCAGGGGGTGAGTTCACTGCTTCAGCTACTGCTCCCTTAAACAGATTAACGCTAAAGAATCCCATAGAATAGCCAGAACTTTCGTGGTCGGTGACTCATGAGCTAAATAAAAACCGCTGGGGATGGGATACTCTCAGTTTCAGACTCTGTAATCTCCACAGGGAACAAAGTGAAGCTCAGTCACTGCTGCTAATGCCACACACCGATAAAATACAGTAGCCAGATAAGCTCACAATGCTAACATCGCTAGCGGGTTTCCTCTTCCGCTTTTACCAAATCGGTTTGATCTGCTCACTCATTTAGAAGAATTTCCGCGTGACCCGGTTACTTTATCAGACGGACAAACGGTGCATGTATATGGGGAACGTCCTCGTGGCATTTCACCAAGAAATAGATGGAACAGTAGCTACCGTGGAACTGGGCAAAGCAGGCACTGCCGTTCCGCTGAGAATGATGAGGCATCGGGCACTTTAATCGTGGGGGACCACGCTGTTAGTAATGTGGATTAGAAAGCTAGTCTGACACGTTCCATAAATAATGCAACAGCGCTGAACATTACAAAGGAGATTCCAAAGATTGTAACAGATATCCTACGCGTGTTATTGTACATGTTGGCTTGACTGATGCCCGCCAAGGGGAATCTAAGCTTGCGAAAGGGGACTTCACCAAACTTTTTAGCACACTTAGTCAGTTAAAAAGTCAATCATTCATTAGCAGTCCATTACTAGCGTGAGGAAGCAATATGTTCTCCCACCTCCTCAGCTAAAAAACACCTGGCACTATAAAGTGTGCAAACTGAAGTGGTTACATTTTATAGACAATTTTAACTATCAACTAAACAGAACTGCAGTGAAAACTTGACAGATTTTTTTTTCACTATACTTGACTCTTCTGCCCCAAGGAACAAACACGAACCGATACCCGACACCTGGCCACACGTCGATCTGTAAACGATCATCAGGACACCTTTCAGCGACATTTGGAACTCTCAGACACAGCATGGTGCAAGGGACATGAGGAAGTCTTCTGTGAGTTTTTCTCTGCTGATAAAAGCGAAGAACTGCCGTCGATTCAAGCTCAAAGTGTCTCTTCACAGCCAAAACAACCAAAACACAAGGATGTGTTTCAGGGAGAGCACCACGATAGCTGTGATGATGTCATCCAGACAAAGCACACTGACTCTTCCTTGTCAGGTTCTACTCTTTCTCTCACCTATATGTCACATGGACATTCCCAAGGATTTGGCATCTGCACGTACAAGGTTGTCCCTCTGGACAGTCATATCTGGAGAAAATGACCCGTCCCTCTCCTCCTCTATCAAGGACTCCTCGTTCTCAAGTACAAAGGCAAAAATATATTATTACATCATCTATCTTCTCTCCAACTCCAGACTGCTGATATCCTCAGGGTCCCGTGCTCTGTTAATGCTACAGGGTGGCACCCTGCTCATCATCTATTCCAGTTTTGGTTGATAATAGCAGAAAACGAGTTCATCCTAATAAGATAAATTGGTTGAACTTGATACATGTTCCACAACAACCTGTTCAAACTGTTACTCTACAAGATAAGTGCTTCAAAATACCCCTTTTTAAATGTTAGACCTCTTATAATGAAATCTTTTTAATCAATGATCTTATCACAGCTTATCACCTAGATTTAGATTTAGGATGCTCACTAAAACCAAGAAAAGAGAACATATTACTTCTGTACTAAAAACAATACACTGGATTCCAGTTAGTTACAGGATTCATTTTAAAATATTGCTTCTTGTATCTTGTTTTTAAGTGCTTAAATGGCTTAGGCCCAAAATGTATAGCAGACATGTTGGTAGAATATAGACGCTGTAGATGTCTTACATCATTAGGAATTGGTCAGCTGATACTGCCAATAGTTAAAAGCAAACAGGGTGTGCTATGCATGGATGGAACAATATTCCAGAAAAAGTTAGACATGCCCCATCTGTAGAGACAATTATATCCGTTGACACATTGAAATTTCTACTTGCTGATGACTTTAGTTAGTACTACACTAAGTAATATTTGAGTTAACTTTTGTCTTTTACATTTTGTTTTTATTTGTATTTTATCATATTATATTTTTAAAAATAAAATGTCAAGCCCTTTGTTATATTTTAATTATTAGTTATATTTATTTATATATATATTTTTTTTAATGTAAAGCACTTTGGGTAGCCTCTGGTAGGAAAGGTTCTATACAAATAAACTTGCCTTGCCTATTACTTAAGTATTAATTAACCACAAACTAAGTCTTAGTTACATACTTACCTCATGTTAATTCATCATTAATGAATTGTGACACCTTTTATTTGAAGTGGTTACTATGTTTGTTAGTATATCTGTTAATTCTGTAAACCTTTTGAACTAATGAAGGAACAAGTCATGAATAACGTGAGATTGATCTCATGTTTGTTCATCATTAATAAATCATGATGCATCTTTTATCTCAAGTAGCAAGTATATTTGTTCATGAAGAGTTACTACTATGTATTTGTGCCCTGGCAAGAAAAGTGCCTGATGTTTTTCAGCCAAAGAGCATTTATCCTGGGACACTGGCTCACCTTAAACTTTATTTCAGTCAGTCCTTGACACAGGTGAAAGTTCCTAGCTTACTATACGGCACACAACAGATAACATTACACTTCTCTGTTTCTCATAGACTCCCACACTCAACAAGACGAGATCAATTTAACGATTGTGTACAATCATTTGTAGTCTTGGTAACAGCTCCGGTAAAGATTTTATCTAGCCGTGGCTGTGATAACTTAGTGAGTCTTAGACTGCCGCAAAATATAGCTGCTTAGAAGGAAAGAAAATGCCTGACAAGTCAGCAAAAATATATCCATCCCACACTGTGTAATTTAAACAGCAGACCTGTACAACCCAACCACAACAAGCTTTGCACATAATCACCATAGACATGACACTGAGCTCTATCCCGTGAAGCTATGGCTAGCTAGCTGGGGAAAATGACCGACACAGTAATGTGCAAAAAGCCCATGTAAACAACGCCTTGGGAACAAAAATTTCACAAAGCTAAACTAGGGAATTAGCCTCAGAGAGCTGGGAGGGTGTCTAGTTGTCTAGTGTTGAACATGTTTATACAATGAGATCAGCAATCTGGTGTTCTAGAGTTGGAATGAAGGAGCCCAGCACTTCCTCACCATTTTTGGGGTAGATTTCTTCTGCCTTCACAGAACAGTTTCTCATGCACATCTTGTCAGTGATGAATCGGTTTCCATTGCCTCCTTGCCCCTTAAACGCGAAGGGAACGCACTGGTCCTTTGTCTTGTCAAAATAAAGACGGATTAAGTAGTCTGCTCCATGCCCTTCATCCACTGGCAAATCACACACATCTGCAACAGGAAAGAGGGAGAAGTAAGTGGTGGCGCATCTTCTCTGTTTATATAATTAACCGAAAAGGAAAATAAGACTGATGGCGACATTTGCTTCTTAACATATATATTTTAGACCCCACCCCCTACCGGATGGCAGCAGCATTAATTGATAGTGCCGGTTCTGTGTGCACAAAACACAAACCTTTTAAGTGAACCTAAGACAGACACACTTCAGAAATGACAAGGCAAAATTCAGCCTTTCGTTATAGAATTCAGCTTTTATAAAATCCTGCTTACTCTATTAGTTGATAGATTTATAATAAAGGATTACTTATAGATGTAGCTATGAAGAAGTTCATAATTTCCATCCAGTGTACAATAACAACACAACTAGACTTCAGTGCATGATTTTGCAATGGGAAGGCATCACGGATGCGTAACTTGCTGTGACTTATTTGCACACTCTAAGCCCAACCCTGTTTTTATGACAGCAGCACAAACATGTCATTTATCATCAGGAAAAACTCTGCTCTAAATGTACACCATAATTTGCACTTATTAATCTGTTGACCCGAATAAATAATACTGTTGTTCTGTCATATCTTTCTGTGGATTACATGTTACACAGGCTGCTTAAAATGTTTCGAAAATATTATTGTTATGCTCTGGTCATGCGAAATGGAAGTAGGTGTCATCATCATCAATTAAAATTAAAAATAAAAACATGTCCATGAGAACACCATTCATATCCCTGTATAAACATTAATCATGTCATTGTGATTAGATGTTATGGCCATATTCAGACAGACACTTAACAGAAGTACAAGTGGGCAACCCTAGTCAACTAGTTCCATGTCCATCTTTGGTAAACAGCAACGATTTGAAATAGATTGTTTTTCATCATCAGGTGTAATGCTTCTCTTATACAACTACAGCATGTAGCAGACTGGCAGCAGACAAAATAATTTTAAGTTTACTAGTGGTGAGTTGTATTGAATGATTGAATTATATGTGTAATGTGTATTTTAAGTATAACTTATAGCCCATCTACTTTCAAACGAGGACCATGACTGTAAGTGTCATATCAGCCTGTTTCTGGAGGCAAACATTACTAGAATGTCCTTTTGTTTGAGTCCGTTTGTTATCATTGACTGATGTCCTATTGCTGATTGATGCAGACAACGATAAAACCAGCCAGAAAAGAAGAAAGAACTGTTGCTTTCTTCTCAGACACATCAAACCCTCAAGCTCTCATCCTGTGTTCTATAAACACTTATTACTGCATCAGGCACAGAATAAATAGGGGTTCTGATACAGACTTGTAGGAATAACAGGAGCCCAGGTAAATGTGGTTGTGGAGGCATCCAGTCAGTAAGTCACTACAAGCAGGCAAGTCTTATGCTGTTTTAGATTATGGATCCGTCCATACAAAAGGCCCTTTTTAATTATCAGTCACCCAAACTAGGATTTTTTAAACTATTTTGAGACAAAAACGCAAAAACAAACAAAAAAAAAAACTAATATAAACATATAAATTTATAAAGAAATTGTAGATTATAATTTACATTAAAATATGTGCACATTAAAACATCTTTCATTTTTGATTTGATTTATTTTTCATTTTTCCCTTATTTTGCTGCCCATTTTAATAATTAAATATATCCACCTTGCCAGTTATCTGTAAAAGAGGGTGACACACTGTTCCCTATTTGTTAAACCTTAAGCAACCGACACGATTATTTGCTATCTTCATGAAATTACTTTATGGTTATTTCACACACCTATTACGTTTGTGAAACTGTTGGGTTGGGGAAGAAGACTGACAGTTCATCCTTTTTTTCTGATTGGATATTTTAGCCTCATCTAGGTTTCCAATGAAAACACAAGCTCTCTATTGGCCTGAGCTGAATCCTTTTCCCCGCCCCTTCCGTATCTCAGCCAATGGAGTCAGACAGCTTATTTACATCCTCATATTCAGTGATGTACAATTCCCCTGCTTATCTTTACAGGTGAGGGCTGAGGAGAAGCTTTCGTGTACTTTGCCCCTGGTGTCATTATGGCCCTTTGCAAATGCCCCAGCCCTCTCCGGTGCCCCTCAATGTGCCCATTGTTTGAGTCGTCATTCTCCTTTCTACCCCAAATGCAAATGAGGACTGTGTCAGCCAGGAATAAAACCCATGAGTGATGCATCAGGGCGTGACTGTGGCGGTGGGATCGTGGGCAGGAAAGTGAAGCTGTTACTATACCTTGCCACACCAAACAATAAAGTGCTTTCTCTGGTGCCTCTGCATGTGTACAACTTTCTCTCAAACTCCAGAAAACCTCCACATACAGCCTTGGGTAAACAAGCCTAAACTCAAAGTGGAAACATAACCACAGACCCTCCATTGCTCCATTGCCGGAAGTGCCATAATGACTAACTTGTGAAGCATTTGTTTCATAACTATTTTAAATAAATTTTTGTACCGCACTACAGACTTGTGTAATATATCAATTAGCCAATTACCGCCCAGTCTGTGGATGTATGTAACTGTGCTGGGCTGTTCTTCAGTGTCTACCAGCTTCAGCTCCTGTGATTAACGTTAGCTTTCATTTACTAGAACGGAGCATGATTGGTTTCATGAAATGTCCCCACAAGTGTTTTAAAAGGTAATATTCACTAAACTATTTGCAGTTGTAAGTAACACAGTAAAATTTGACACGGTAAATATTTAAATGCTAAATTGCTAATATGCTACAACTGCTTACTTTTCACATAAAGGTGTATTATGTAAGAACACCATTAAAATTAAGGCAAAATAGTAGTAACTACTTCAAATCAGACAATCTGCTGAGGTGTCTCAGTCAGAAAAGAACAATACAGAACACAATTTCACTGCCAGATTAGTGACTGCATGGAATTGTAAGCACATGATTAAGAGAAAACACAACTCACTTGACAGTTGAGCCAGGACAGTGTGGAAAAGGGTAAAAAGAGCGACAAAGGCAACCAGCCGATTCATGATGCGTCTTTCACGGACAGCTTCCTGCAAATGCTAGATTGTAAACTGTGAAAAGGTTGGACGTCTATTCTGTTTAACCTTTGTACTTCACCTATACACTGATAAGAGCAGTCATCTTAGGGTGAGTACTTCTACTTTTGTTTTTGTCAGTACCAGAAAATAGCTGTAAATAAAATATGAATTGATTAAAAAATTAAGGCAATAATTAGAAGTAATGCTGTTTTAATCATACTCAAAGGGAATTAGATTGCACATTTTTGTAAGACTGTGGTTTATAACACCATCCATTATCTGAAACCTCTAGTCCTATTCTGGGTCACAGGGAGTCCAGCGCCTATCCTAGAGGCTATGGGCACACAGCAGGGAAAAACTCATTCACTCACACATGCACCATTTCCATCTATCCATTTTCTGAAACCGCTTGCCCCATTCTGGAGCCTATCCTGGAGGTTACGGGTGCAAGGCAGTGAACACACCAGGATGGGGTGCCAACCTTTCGCACTACACACTCACACGTCATTCACTTAGACATGCACAATTTGGTAATTCCGACTCACCTCACCATGACTTTGGACTGTGAGGGGAAACCGGAGTACCCAGAGGAAACCCCATGATGACACAGGAGAACTCCACACACATGGAGCCATGGCAGAGACTCAAACCCAGGTCCCAGAGGTGCGAGGCATCAGCGTCAACCACTGCAGCACCATGCCACCCCATGGTATGATTCTTCATATAATTTTGAGACACATAAATATATTTATTACAGGGTCAGGATAGATCACTGAAAATTACTGTTATGCTAATAATTATTTATTTGCCATTAGCACAATCCATCCATCCATTTGGGGGCAGCGTGTGACTCCGTGGGCTAAGCCTGTGTGTCTGTAATCAGAAGGTCACTGGTTCAAACCCAGCCTCAGCACGTATGCAGGTCCTTGAGCATAGCCCTTAACCCCCAGCTCCCCACCAGGTGGCTGCCCTTTGTGGACAGCTTACTCTACAAAGAGCAACTTGAGGGCTGCATAAAGACAATCCCCCCGTGGGGATCAATTAGTATTATCATCTGTTTACATTATTCAGGGACACAGTGGTCTGAGCCTATGGGTGCATGGCAGGGAATAACCCCGGATCGGGTGCCAACCCATCACAAAGCACATAACATTCATGCACAAGCCTATGGGCAATTTGACTGTGGAGGAGGAGGACTGGAGTACCTGCAGGAAATCCCATGATGGCATAAGGAGAACATATGAACTCCACAGACATGGAGCCAGGGTGGAGACTTGAACGCTGCTCTGAGAAATGCAAGGCAACAGCACTAATCTCTGTGCCACCACACCACCCCCAACCAGCACAATTATAAAAGAATTCTTTGGGTTCATCCTTCCTTAGAGACCCAACAGTCATATGATTACTGTACCGGCCATGTGATTTGGACCAGGCCCAAAGTCCTAACCCACACACCTTTGCCTGCTAGACAGCAATTCATGAGGAGCCATCAAATCACAGCCATTTCTCTACTGCACGACCCTGCTGCCCAGAATCAGTGCCAGATCTAAATATACCCCAGGCAGGCTGTCAAGACTTAACAGTGAAGCTCCAAACCATTCAGAAGGGAAATGCATTCAAGATCATCTGACCTTTAGCGAATGTTCCAACGGCAGCGACCTTTTCAGCAGGACGACTGCTCACAAGCTGCATGTGTCACACGGCCGCATATTTCTCACAGCTCTAGGAACACTGGCACTGGCGGAACACTGCCACTGGCGGAACACTGGCACTGGCGGAACACTGGCACTGGCGGAACACTGGCACTGGCGGAACACTGCCACTGGCTGACCCTGCCAAAAACCTGTCACTGATTGATAGGGACCCATCAGCATCCCCTCAGCATTACTAAGAGGTTGTACCTGTATCGTGGGTAAATATATTGTGTTTTCATTGTCGGTTAAGTTTAGGTTTATAGGATATCCGGTATGGAAAAATGCACCATAACCTTTGTAATTCATAGCACACAGCTACCCTATTTGGCACAGAAAAGAACAAAGGCATAGATGCTCTGTAGAGCTCAATTAGCCATGTTGCAGAATCACACACACACGGGTTTGTAATTATATCTTTGTGGGGACTCTCCATTCATTTCTGTGGGGAAAACTGTTATCCCAACATGACAACCTATACCCCTAAAAATGTCCCCCACAGAGTCAAATTAACAGGTTTTTATAGCCTGCTACACAAGTGGACCTCAACCACCCACCCACACACACACACACACACATACACAACGCATTTTGGGAGGCGCAACATATTTGGGAAAAGTTTCAGCAGTAATTCCCGAGACCTGTTAGCAGATACAGTACATCGCTGTATATTTTATCTATTCTGAAACATTTCAGTCCCATATATACAAATTTTAGTGATTGCTCTCTGTAGGGAAACAACAAATGATATTTCAGCATCACGTAAATGTATTAATTTCGATCATAATCTATTAGTTGTATTGGGGAAACATGCTTTTGTATTACAATTGATCTCCTCAAAGCATGTCATAGATTAGGTTCAGTCTGGGTTCCTGTAAAAGTTGTAAACGGCACTTAAAATGATTCGCATTGCGTCCCAGAGGCTACAGTTTAAGGTGAGCGGTCAGGCACTTAATGAGCCCCAAAGGGCTGCCGACGTCATGAGCTCCTTACGATGGAGTCGCTGTGAATACTATAAAAACCAGCTACGCAATATGTATGCCTACTGTTCAAGACTTTTGAGAAAGACACTTTTGTGATGTTTTAAAGGAAAAAACGCATAGGATATGGCAGTTACATCGATTATCCTAAATTTGGTGCTGCTCAGTATCACGTACTCAGAAGGTAACACCATTTAAAATTGTGTTTTATAAACTAGACGATTAAGGTATTTTTTTTAACGTAATGTTTGTTATTATGAACCTGTATATCAATTTTACAGAATTTAAGAAGTGTTAAATATACGTTACATGTTATTATTACTGACCAAATGATGATTCGATGCAAATGTTTATTTTAAACTATTGCGAAACATACCAGTACTTTTCGAATTTTCTCGAATAATGAATGGGACTCTAACGAATTTAGGAAAAAGAGGGGGGAAAGTGCAAAAGTACAAATTATTCGTATCATTACTGCTATACACTTAGAAATTTAAATTCTCAATGCAGGGAACGCTTCATGCATTTTTGACCATACATCTGTTCTGTTTCTTAACCAGTACGACGCTTACTTAAGCATAATTCAGGAATTTTTGAAGCGGATATTTTAAACTGGACAATTACTGCCACCAGCAAAGTAGCGCTGAGGTTGACTTTGACGTAGACCGGGCTTGAAACCAGATGACGTTGACATAAGGAGATATTAAACTTTCGCCATGACACATTTCTTCAATGAACTTTTTGTAAAAGGAATATAAATCCCCGTTGATACCTTTCACTTCGTCTCTGAGTTACTTATATTTTTGTTTGTGTTACAGGTGCAAAGTGGACGTATAAGGGTGAGTGAGCGCGGTGCCTTAACTTCTACGGAGACCGTGACGGTGTATGCTGTGTGATACTTACAGATGAAGTTGTGGCATTATCGCAAGGAAAATATTGTTTTCCTAATGTATGTTCATTTTGTTTAACTTGACCCTTAGTCTAAGGATGAATACAGTTAAAAATAAAATACCCACCTGTGAAAAGTATACGGACGAATTAGAGGTGAATTGCAATCCCTAATCGGGATCACTAGGGGGAGCCTGTACCTGTAAAAATAAGACAGGGGTTAGCAAAGTTGTTCCGCTCTTTAGGTACTACAAACCGTAGCAAGATACATTGCTGACACAGCCGGGATGTTAAATGCAAAATGTGTCCAATATTTGATTCCAAGGTACAGCATTCGACCTTGTTTCAGCCACCAGCACATGGCATACCTGAAAGCTATTGCCAATTTATTGGTCGCTGCATTCCTGGAACATCTCCGCTTATAGCTGCCGCGGTAACCTCTCCTGACATCTCGCACGGCTTTTGCTCTTACGTAACAGTTTGGAAGAGTGTACTATCTCTAGTAGTATTCCGTATTGCTCTTTTGTCTTTTACATAGGTTTCAATATAACTTCACCCTTTACGATACATACTCTTTTTAGGTAAGGAGGCTTTCTTCTGCCTTGGTGCCTTTGTGTTGTATTACGGGGGGCGGTTCAGGTGGGGGGTGTTCCCCAAAACAGGATTTCTCAGTCAGCTGCATAATTTCCCTGTAATAATTTTCTGTTTCCTGCATTGTCCTGTTTTCCTTAGTCCCGTTTCCTTTGTCTGCTTAGTTCCTTTATGGTCATTATTTTATGGTATTAGTTTAGTCTGTTTGATTTCCCATTTGTTTTGATCCCCCATGATCCCTTTATTTTGTAGTGCATACAGGGTTATTTGTAGTAATGGCAGAAGTTCTCAGATAATTTATTAGACGTTAATGAGAATGTTTTATAATGTGATAATACCATCGAGTAACTCACTAGAGATAAATTTGTTTCAATGCTGTTGCCATGTTACTTGCTGCACTTTGGGGGAAAAGTGACTAAAGGAGAATGTTTTGAAATATGCTAATTGATGGTAATGTTTGGACTCGTTCGGCAAGGCACTCATTGGATTAACTTCCTGTTGTTTTGCATGATTTTGAAGAACGATATCTGTTATTCCAAAGAATTTTATATTCCAAAGATTTTTTTGATGCCCTTACTGAACATGCAGTTCAGATTCTCCACAGTTGTTATTTCATTAATAGCATCATCATGCATCATTACTAGGATAGCATTTAGGATCATTCCAGTCAGTGTATGTAGAACCTTAATTATGGCTTTTCTATAAGTGCGTGAAGGTCACAGTATAGTGTGTGGAGGTCAAGCTGTGTTATTTATGCTTTCTGTGTAAATGCACTCACACTACAAACTTGTACCACATGACCACTACAGAGACTGATTTCTGGAATTAAAATGAAACTTAGTAAAAACATGAATGGGTGAAATGATTTATACCCTCACAAAATATTAGAAGTTGGTGTTCATTTAACAGTGATTGTGTACACCTTGCTCTGTAATCCCTCCAATGAACTGATTTTAGGTCATTCTAAAGGTCTTCATTCTGTTGTGTCACATTGGCTGAAGAGCAAATTCCTCTCTGTTAGCAACTATGAAGTCAAATAAAGGGCAGAGATACAGGGAAACATGAAACTATATTCTGAGGTGGCAGTGGGTCATGGATATTTATGAAGTTAAGGCTCTGACTAATGCCTATGTATAAATGCTGTATAAGTTCAAATGTATCCAATTTGATGTGAATCCTCAGCAAACATCACTGTTTGTTTAAGGTACTCTAGCCAAAAGATAAAACCCATTTGCTTCTGAATGCTAAGTATAATGAATTACATCTGTGTTCAACTAAACTACTTTTACTACTTTTAATGGAGAATATTTGTGAATATATTTATCCCTGGTTTTATCCTGGATTCCAGGAGGACAACTGGTGAGAAGAAGATATGAAAAGATAAAATGCACCCCTTTGTTCCATAATAAATATCTTTAATTAAAACATGGAAAAGTAGTGTATGGTGAAAAAACACAATATAAATGTCTAGTGCTCACAAAGGTATCCAAATCCAAAAAAAAGATCATCCTTATGGTTTCAAAATAACTTTTTCCATTGATTAATATAAAAGTTTTGGGACTTTCTCCATGAAAAATCATTCACCTGAACCAGATGTGGAAGCTACACAGGATCAGTGCTCCCGGTTAGTGGACACAGGACATTGTTAGCAAAGGAGTACAATGTATAATGGCCATGTAATGTTACAATGGTATTTCTGGTATGAACTAACTCATGTCCACAAATTGAACCTTCAAGCATACTGGCTTAGAAACACTACCATTACATTTCTATGCGCACGTGTAGCTAATCAGAACTCTCCATAATTGCACCTCGTTATGAAAGAATCAAATAGCAACTCACAGACTGTGCTGCAAAGTCAGATTTCAATATGAGCTATGCAATAAAGCAGGAAACAACAGTAGTTATGACCTGTAGTCGAGCTATAAAATATTTCAGGGGGGGTGGCAGGAGGTGGGTTGGGGCTTTGAGCTACATGCTTTGTAATTAGCCCTTTACTGCTCCATATCTGCATATTAAATATTACCCAGGGATTGACTATACTACACTATAGATGTACTATAGATTTACTGTGGATCATATTCTTATAATATTTGTACAGATTAAAATATTTGTTACATCAGAATGATACAGATACAACAGAAAAAATGCTGAAGATAAACTTCAAGCTGCATGTAAAGTAAAGCTGTTTATAAAACAAACCTCTTGTAAGGTATATATTCAATACATATTGATTGTAGTACAGGAATGGATTTATAGAAGATTTATAAAAAGAGAGCTACTGTAGCTACAACAAAGTCAGCACTTTAATTGTTCTAAACCTATTTTCCCCCTGTTAGCTAACGCCGGGATTTTCCTGAAATTGCTGACAGCTATAGAATGTCTCAATCACAGCTGCCCTAAATGCTTAATGTCAGCTGTCTAACTGCCTGTCTTCTTAAAATATGACCACAGGTCTTTCTTCTGCTGTACATCCATTTGTTGGCCATGTCTGCCCCCAGGAAAGTCAGCACTCACTTGATGTGGTCAAACAAACTTATTGCATTGACCAGTGAAGCCCTTTACATAGTACTGTACTTAACCACAAGCAGAAGCGTGGATTGCTTACTCTTGCATTTTGCCATCAAGAAAAGCAGTTGTGAAAAGATGGAGCAGCATTACAACAATGATATAGTCGGTAAATTCACCTTCATGTGAGTGATATTGCGCAGAACAATTTAGGGGGGTAGTGAGGAGGAATGGTTTTTGGTAATTTTTCTCAGGGGGGCGAGTACTCACTTGTATCCCATGACAACTCACAAGCTAGACCATGTTCCTTTTCCTTCGTAGTCAGCATATACTGGCAAATAATTAAAAATTATGCTAGATGTAGTCAAATGAGAAAAACAAGACCTGTATTAGTGTAAAACAGGGAAGCCAACTATTAACACGACACTCATGGTTACATGCTAACAAAACACATGCATTCCATGGCAAACATTACTAAGTTACAACATTTACTGTTTACAACAGGAATACACATATCGATTTACGCTATTTACAGATGTGTGTGGTGCGGTGCACAGAAAGCTGGTAAATATGCCCGGAAATAGCATGGCTGACCAACCTTGCAGCATCGCATTTATGTCAGCCAATCATGGACAGCGGGTGGGATCAGAACGAATGAAAAGGTTTGCCTCGGAGACCCTACTCAGGCAGTGCGGCGAAATGATGATGACTGCGGTGATTCTGGTTCATATGACATCGTATTGCTAAAGCAACATTGATTTCATTGATTTCATCAGAATTGTATGGCCACCTTTACCCTGAGATGAGGCTTTGGGGCTGACCTGAGCTTAACACATAATGATGTCACAGTGGAGTGCAGCTTTATTCTTACTCTATATTGCGTGTATGTGTCAGTATCTTGATGCAACGTGTTTAATCCCCTTCAAGCCAATAAGCACAAAAATGAATTAAGAGGATTATAGAATCCAATAAGACTGATTTACTAGAGGAAGTAAGTTATACTGGGTGTTTCTCAGTACATGTGCTTTCGTGTGCTCGTTTTATGTCATCTTCCATTGCAGAAGACCGGTTCCAATACTAAGAACAGAAGTAAAGAGGACAGTAAAAATTCCAGGATGTTGTTTTTTCCCCGCCCCAAATATCAAGGATGCGTCGGTTGCATCCTCACTAATTAGAACAATCCCATGATTGATTGCATCCTAAGTTAATTCTTGGGAGGCAAGTTAGCAAGACTGCTCTTCTGAAGACCATAAGAACTTTGTGTTCTTGGTATTGAGAAACAGCCATAGTTTTTGGAACATGAAGAACACAAAAACAGTGGAGGTCACATGACCATTGTACTTGACCTGGAACATGTATAAGTTGGCAGCTGAATATCATACAGATCATGTGACCTCCACTGCAGTCACAGCAAGTATGAAACAATAAAACATGGATTACTCTGTGTATGGTTGCACAAACATTAACTGGGAGTCTTAAGGCAGGCTCCAGTTTACCTTGCGTGAAACACAGGTCTATGCATGGTCCCATATATGTATGGATAAATTAAGTGTTTCTAAGTTTTAAGAAACTCCCACAAACTTTTCACAGGCCCAGATGGAGAGACCAACTGGTCCAAGAATTACCCATATTGTGGTGGGGTCTTTCAGTCGCCCATTGACTTCGAGCCAGAGCTGCTGAGATACGACCACTCTCTGACCCAGATTGAGCTCCTGCACTACAACCTGTCAGACAAGGAGCTGCTGACGCTGGTCAATAATGGGCACTCAGGTGAGCACAGCAATGACCCTGACAAGATCAGCCACAGGAGCCATGAAAAGGCTGAGAAATGGTCAGGTCAGAACGTACTAATGAAGACCTCTGTCCTTAATAACGCAGTATGAATGGCTTAGTTAGGATTTCCCACAGCAGGTACAGAAGTGACAGTGATGGTGTTCAGCAGGTTATTAAATACTGCAGAGGGTGGTTCAGATTCCTCAGCTTATGAACCAAACAGCAGCCTTCTGCAGCAGGTGTACATGAACATTTACTCTTCGCCAAAAAACATTAAGCACTGGTGTATCCTCACATCAAAACAAGACCTGCACACGCTTCTCTGAACATCTACTCCAACTGCAGGGCTCCTCTCGATTCAGGGAAACGACATGGCTGTTTTATTCTTTCACCCAATGAATAAGAAAAAAAAAGTTGTTTTAAATATTTAGCTTATTTCCTAATCTTAATTTTGGGATAAGTTCAGGAGTTAATTGTATGGTGAGTGATTGAAGCATTTGATTTCTTGAGTTATGCTTTCTCAGTAGGCATGGTGGTGCAGTGGTTAGCACAGTCGCCTCACACCTCTGGAAGCAGCGTTCCCTGTGTGTGGAGTTTGCATGTTCTCTCCTTGTTGCTGTGGGGTTTCCTCTGGATACTCCGGTGTGTGTCTTTCTGTTCATGTATATATTACATTATGAAGACCAAATATGGAAAAAAAAAACTTATTTTGACCTTCTGGGGACACAGGGAAAGGGAAAACTAATAAAAAAAAAAAATTGTCAGTGTCAGAAACTAAAAATGCCAAAAGTATTATATTTTGTTTGGTTACTTATGGTTAAGGTTAGGGTTAAGGTTAGGGTTTGGTAGGGGTTAAGGCTGTCATTGTTGGGATTTCGGGTTGTGCCCATAAAAACGAATCGCGAGTCCCCATAAAGATATCGATAAGTAATCTGTGTGTGTGACATTTCTGGCCACAGTGCAGCTGTCCCTGCCTTCCCGGATGAGCCTGTCTGGTCTGTCCCACCGCTACTCCGCTGCCCAGCTGCACCTGCACTGGGGCTCCCAGAGCCTGCCAGCCGGCTCTGAACACACCATCAACGGCAAGCGCTTTCCTGCAGAGGTATGGGGAGAATTTCCATGTGTGTGTGCGGGGTGGAGTGCTGGGGGAGACTCACCTACCCTTTTGCCCGATCTATTTAAAGCACCTCCCTTTGAAGTTACTGCGTGCCCCCTGGTTGGCAATTTTTAGCCTTGCAACCTCTTCACTCTGGTCATTTTACAGTCAAGTTGACTCTTTTTATTAACCCCCCCGCCCCAGCACCACCTGGTCGGTGCCTTTGAGCACCTGCCCCCAGAAGGTCTCTGCACGGTCCTCCTTACTTAAATGAGTCAATGCAGGGACAGTACTATGGGTCCCCAGAAATACCCTGGGTTACAAACAAGAGCCGTTCCCCAAGTCTGTCTTTATGTTGAATTTGTAGGTAAGTCAGAACAATAATAATACAGTACATAATAATAATAGTGATAATGGTTATTATTATAATGCAGTAACAATACAATACATAATAATTATAATTCAGTAATAATAATAAAGGTAAATACATACGACATTGTACTGTACATTGAGCTGACATATTGCTGAAGCCATGCAATGTTTCCACGAGCGTCACAAAGTAGCGTGTCTATTCGGTATCACGAAGCATTGTATTTAACCTGAATGTTTAGTATAATACTCTTCATGGCAGTCCATGCGTAAGTATGGGGACTTTCTGGATTACAGACTATCAAACTGCATGAATCTCCAGCATTGTGTCGATGTTATGGAAAGAACATGCGCACAAATATGATTGAACAATATAAGCCTGCAGTACGTGTGCATTTCAAAATATTTATTTTTGAAAATAACAAACTACTTTTATGAAGCTTTTTTAGCACAAGCAAATGATCTGGACAAAACTGCTGACAGTGAGATCAGGTGCCCATATGGATGTATCCAAATGGATTGTGCACATATACACAACATGACTGTGAGCTCATAGCCTAACGAGGTTTGGTTTGTGTGCTCTGACTGCAGCTTCTCCGGTTCACACTGACAAATGAACCACTCACCTCCAGCATCTGCATGTCATCCTGTTTTTTTTGTAGATAAATGAACTGATTGTCAAATGTCATGTTTCCAACTGTCTCTTTGCTCCCAGGCTGTAAATATCCCTGAAGGGTATGACCATAAAAACAGACCCTAACTTATGTGAGAAGCTTGTGGCTTATGACAGAGCTGTCACACTTAGACACTGATGAGTTTCCCAGCCTGTTGATGCACTCTTGCCTCAGGCTGTGCTAGAAAGGGTGTTTAGTGGTGAGACTTCTGATGTCCTTTCCATTTTGGGAGCAGTCTGTAGCTCATTATATTCTTAGACAGAGTTCACACTTCACTCAGCTTTTGGGTACATGCATCCATCACTCCTACTTCAGCTTGGAAGAAAATTGTAAAACGTTTCATCTAAAATATGTACGGATAAGGTAATCAAATGTCAGTGAGCATGACAGCTACTGCTTATCCTATTTGTTCTTTTCCTGTAGATGCATGTGGTGCACTTCAACTCCGACAAGTACCCAAACGTCTCTGTCGCGGCAGATCGGGCTGACGGGTTGGCTGTTCTTGGGGTTCTGATTGAGGTGAGTCGCTGTGGAAGAATCCGACCACCAGGAGGTGCTACTTTCACTCAACCTGGGGAGCTCGCTGAGTAGTGTATCTATCAGCATCGGCCCCTGCCCTGTCCTGTCTGTCGTTTCCCTGTTTGGCCAGCTGGTGTCGCTGGTGTTCACCTCTGATTCTCTGTGTGGCAGGTGGGCAGGTTTAACCCCGCTTTTGACCGCTTCTTGACATATATCGATGGGATTAAATATAAGAGTAAGTTACAATTTTTCATACTTGTTAGCAGAGGAGATGTGTTTGCTTAAAAGTAATTTGTGCTCCTATTTGAAGTCAGATCTTATTTCTCCTTCAGTATTTTGTCAGTGCTAACAATGACACATGATAGATGGTTAGGTGGGTCGTGCATCTTCTCCTGCCACTGGCACTGGCCCACCCTGCGGTTCTATATCGGCCTGTTAGATCAGACAGTGAAGATCCCCGCCTTTAACATCCGGGAGCTGCTTCCCGACCAACTGGACGAGTTCTATCGCTACGACGGCTCCCTGACGACACCCCCCTGCTACCCTAGTGTGCTGTGGACCGTGTTCCGAACACCAATCAGCATCTCACACACGCAGGTTCTGTACCTCACTCCCGCCCAGTACGTTTTAGTTCCATGTGAACTGCCATTCTGTACACTGTCCGCGTCTCATGTTGTTGTAACGCTGTAAGTGGTGCCCTTCCAGTTCCTGGGTTTAGCCACGACCGTGTACTCCTCCACGGTAGGGGACGACTCCCCAGTCACCCTCAGTGGAAACTACAGGAGAACGCAGAATCCAGGCGACAGGACTGTCCTGGTGAATTTTCAAGAGGGTGAGTCTGGAATGCATGGCAAGGCGCTACATTTCAAAACGAAGCAGCATCTTCCTGTGTGGTCCGTAGAAGTCCTCCACTTTTGGTAATGTAGCGAACGATTCAAATTCGGGAAAGAGAAAAAAAAATCTGTATTGCATCAAAGCAGAGGGGCCAAATGTTGCATAAATTCATTCATAAAGAAATGCGCAGTTATAATGGATGACTGACAGGTGGATCGACAGGCTTTGTTTAGATTCCAAACGTAAACAGCGAGTAAAGCTTTCAGACCCTCCACCAACACAGGGCGACTAGGGCTTTGTGCTTATTTAAAGCCTCTGAGGTTACAGTAACTGATTAAAGTGAATGTGTGTAGCCATATTTGGGGGCAGGGTGTGGCTCAGCAGGCCAAGCCTCTGAGCCTGTGAACCGATGGTCTCCGGTTTGTACCCGGCTTCAGCAGAACAGTCACGCCTGTGGGCCCTTGAGTAAGGCCCTTAACCCTCAGCTCCGTGGACACCAGGCAGGTGGCTGTCCTACGTTGCCAAGCTTGCTCTCACCTACCTGTGTGTCATGGAGAGCAGGACGAGGCAGGCAGAAAGAGAATTTCCCCACGGGGATCAATGAAGTGTCATTATTATTAATCGCATGCTGGTGCAGCATTAGTTCATGCAGACATAGAGTGTGGTCACGTGGTGCAGGGTGGACCCCCTCTCTCAGTGTCTGGCTTGCTTTACACATTCACCACTTCTGTGTGTGGTGCAGGAGATGGAATGCAGGGCGTAGACACAGCGACGTCACCTCTCCGTAGAAGGCAAGCCATTCAAAAACTGCTTGCCAGCAGCCTTGCCAAAGCGACACACAAAGAGGCACCCCAGATACAGCCTAGAATCAGCCATACACTAGATTCCAGCAAGAAATGGGAAAATTGGGAGAACAAGCACATCTTGGGCCAGTCCACACTGAAAGAGAACTTGCCAAAGTTGAAAGCTGGAAGTCTTCTCCTAAAACTCTGGAACTCCAGAATCACTGGGCTTTCAGAAGAGAGTTTATGTTATAGCACCGTGGAAAAGAGAACAATGCTCGAGCTTAAGAAAGCCCACTTGAAGAATCGGCTGGCGGAGGCCCTCCGAGAGGTCGTCTTCCCAGCCCTCAACCTCGGGAGCTATCTGAATGGCAGATCAGAACTATCCCCCTTCACAGTCAGACACCTACTACATAGCCAGCGCAAGCATGAGCTAGAAAAGCTACAGAACTCTCTGGTGAAACCAGCCCAGGTTCCAAGTGGAAACCATGAGTCTGAGGAACTTCAGAGCAAAACCAGACACCCAGTCCAGTAGAAGCGCCACCCAGCACAGCTTGTACATCATGTGTGTCGTAGACAAAAAATAGATGACAGATGTAATTGCTGAAGAACTCCAAATGTCTGTAATGAACTAAGGACTGCTGAAAAGCTCATCGCACAATCTATTAGCAAGCCATTGATAAAGTGAACTGTACTGTTTATTAATCATGTCAAGATTCATATTCGGCATTTAGAACATTATTAGATGAAAGTGTCTATTTGACTTCATTCTAAAGGTTGGAGTCTTATCTTCATTGGGGAATAATTCTCAGTGACCGAGTTTAATTAGTTGTAGACAAAACTGCATATGACTGTATGTTACTGTACAAACCTTAGAGAGCCATGTTTGAAGCCTGCCCACTTTTAAAAGAGATCGCAAAGAAAACTTGATTAAATGGTTAGGTTTGAGGATAAAGAAAAAGGGCAAAATGTCATAGATTAATAATTAAAGTAAATGGCCTATACATGCATAATTTCTGATGTTTTTTTAATAATAGTATTTATAATGATATTAACCATACTGTCTTAGCATTTTTTAATGCATAAAATTAAAAGAAATAAATATTTACCAGCCAATCAGTTGATATCTTGTCATGGGTAAGTCTATGCCCTGATCAGGATAAACAGTTGGAAGGTGGATGGATGGATGGACCGACGGACTGACCGACGACTGGATTGGTCTAATAAAAAATAAAATCCAATAAATTGTAAGAAGTAGAAATTTTAGTAAAATTTTAAAACACAACCTACAATTTTCAAGATATTTATGTAGACTGCTGAATTTGTAGATATTAGGTTGAAGGCTTCAGTCAGAAGCTTGAGTATGAATGGAATTACCCAATGGCTTGAGGTCTGGTTAATACAGATGGAAGCTGCTGTGCCGTGTGATTCGTAGTTGGTAGTTGGTTGAAACTGACCGATAGTAAAACTTGAAAGAATATTACAGTCCTTGGCTTACGCTGAGAGGCTGCGACATCCTACGTTTCTCGCTCAGACTTTCTGTCTTGTTTTTTTCCATGACTAAGGGCTGCACTGGGTGAGCTTAGGTATGTCCTCATCTTTGATTTCAGCCATCCGTGTGTGTTTGCATGTCTCAGCCTTTGGTGTTTCTTGTATGTAATTAATATTCAGTAACCAACAATGCAGTGTAATAATTAAAATGCATAAACTGGAATTCCACCACCTATCATCTATTTGTGTATTTCTTTATACCAGCACTTACATTGACATCTACGTACATTGACATCAAACTTCTACTTCAGATTACAATAATGCCATTAATATTGGTATGCAGGATAAACTATATGAAATTATTTTGTTGAACTAACACAAGAAAAGCACATACGTGTCTCAACATTTAAATTTAATTCTAGTTGCAGCTACAGAATCAATATATATTATTACATGAACTTTTCACCCATCATGCTTGCTAGTTTCCACCTAGTGATGCATGTTTGCCTGATTATGGACTGCAGATTCCACATTAAAACATCCTGATGTCTAATGTCTGAGCCAGTTCTGTTTTTTTTTTTAACGGGTGTGTTTTTACTAATTTTTTTCTCAAAATTAATAGATTTTAATAAATTATTTTCACGTTTGGTTTGGCGTATCATGACGGTTTTCCTGACCCCTTATGATGGCTCTTCACAGTGATTGATGAAACGGCTTGTCTTGGCTTTGTGTGAATATGTCATTGCAAGCTGGACCTCATTGTGACACGAAGCACATGTGTACTCTCTCTACTCTATTGGTCAGTACATGCATGTGTGCATGTGCATCGATTGGTCGCCCGCACTGTGTCCCCGTATCCTTACCGCGTGACACTTGAGGGTCGGCTCGCCTCATTCTCCCTACAGGTGTTGTCATCTCCATTGTGGCAGTCACACTGCTGGCACTAATATTCATCGTGACACTCATCTTGTATTTACTTAGGAAGAAAAGGTCAGTGTTACAAAGATGCAAACAGCATGTTTTGTCACAAATCTCAAATCCCACACTCATAAAAATAAAACTTTACAAACCGTGAGAAATTTTAAGACTAGTGTCCACTCACTGTAAAATAATGTTTGTTTTCTGTATGGTACAGTGCATAAAAATTAATGTCATTAACTAACTGGAAAGTCTGTTTTTAGTCCAGTTCTACTGTGAAAAGAGCACATTACCAGGGACCTGTACTACGAAGCGGGGTTACTGGCTTATCGTGGTAACTTGACGGATTTAAGGTAGTCTGGGCAAAATGTAAGTAAACGAATATGAAGTCCATTTAAACTGTGGTACCTTAAAATCCGAAAAGTTACCCCGATAAGCCAGTAACCCCGCTTCATAGTACAGGCCACAGAACTAGGTATATCCGTCAGGCTAGGTTTTACGGTCACAAGTTACCAATAGTTCTAAATAGCTGACCAAGGCAGGGTGGTAGGGAAGGGACAGAATCTTATCTCAGGCTTCTCCTGTGTTGAATTGAAATTGTAAACTGTTGACCCTGGTCTTAGGTACAGTATGTTAAAGCTGGTTAAATATTATTTGCAGAATGTCTTATAAGAAGAGTTACACATCATCATAGTGATGTCTGACACCTGTGTATTTTCACATAAATAGGGAATCAACCTTTTTAGTTAAATTGATAAAGCAATTAAGTTTGACGCTACATTAACTTTCTGCTTGTCTCCTTAGTAATGAGAGAGTTCAGCAAAGGACCAAGGATGTCACACACGATGCAGAGAGTGCTGCTCACAAGTAACAATCTTACCAGTCAGGCACCAAACTCTTGTGCAGGTCTGTTGTGTCACCTTACACTGCATACAGTATGCTGTGACCACACTTCACTTATGCTCCAACAGTTATTTTGCTGCCAGTGAACTGAGGCAGATTGTTAACTGCAGGTTAATGGCACCTGCAATGTGTGTGTGTGTGTGTGCGTGTGTGTGTTTTAGAATACCAATTTACTGAAACGTTTTACAATTATTTTCAAAATAGACAGAATTTTGGAAAGCTCAAATCTTCTGTACTACACGGCTCCTTTGAACAATTTACATCTGTTAACACGTTAAAGTCAGTTATAATTAAGCAGCAAAAGGATAAATAGAGAACAATTTTTTCATCTGCCCCTTCCAAAAACTTGAGTACCGGGTAGGCTGGAAGCATACAAGGCAAGGAAGCAACCCAGATGGAATTCCAGTCCGCCAGAGGGCGCAAAAGCACAAATTATCGAAAATGAGGCGCTATCGTCACGAGACCTAATCGTATATTTTCGGTCAGCACGGGGAGACCATTGTGCCAAAAACCCAAAAGGAACCTCTAAGAAAACTTCAAATTTAACATATACATAGAGCCAAGATGAAAGGTGACTGCTGCCCACTACACTGCCCAATTTTTATTTTATTTTTTTAAGAAATGGATGTGATTTCCATCCATTAAATATAACTGAAGGAGTTATTTGTCAACATGGCTTGCTTTTTTTGGGGCTATTTCTTTATATGAAAGCTATACGACATCCATGAGAAAAATTATATGTATATAAAATTGATTGTAGATATGAATAGGAGCTGTAAGGTAATACTTGACCTGTAAAATATTCTAGTAATAAAATAATAAATAAATAATCGTGTATTGCTACATTTCTCGCAGTGATAATGTTTTTCTCATTGAGACATTGTATTATCATTGCTACAAGTAATAAAAACTTCTGCAGTCTCATTGCATAAGCAGTAATAGAGACCTAGAGCATGTCTGCTCCATTTCTCAAGCAGTATTATAAAGTTTCACAGAGTTTTATAGTTCTGCTAATTCCAGTGATGTTTCCTATTTAGCTTGCAGTATATTTAATCTCCCCCACAGACACATTATTAAAATAAAATTTTCCAATCATAAAACATGCAAATCACAATCCTTCAAAACTATTTTACCAGCGTGTTTGTAATACTATATATAGATCTTGAAACAACAACCTTCTGCTTATACAAGCTGATTTGGGTACAGTTACTGAAGTATTTTGTCACTCCTGAAAAAGCATAATGTATATTGCACTGGTCCCAAACCTAGTTGTCTGTTGCTTGTGTGTAGCACTGGTGATCAGTTTTTCATAATCTAAAACAGGTCATCAGTTTTTTATAATCTAAATGTTAATAATATTAATGAATAATGAGATCTTATTTGTCAATATTGTAAAATAAAATGAGTAATTCTTTGATACATTGGCCTTTGCTCATGTTTATTTAAATATAGTGGTTCTGCATGTGATTTGGGTCTGGATTAATAAGGGCTTCCTTGCCCTTGTAATGGAGAATGGTATAATTATATTCAGAAGTGACCGACAAAATCTCTTTCTGTCATGTTCTCACACAAAATGAACCCTCTTCAGATTGTCAGGATGATGGATGTGTCTAGCTGATTCTAGGGTAAATATAATGGACAAGAGCTTGCAAGGCAGAAAAGCAATTGCCTGTTAAATTATCCATCACAATCGAATATGTGCCTTCCAAATCAGTATAGGTGCATAGGGGGCGCCTGTATGAGACAACAGTAGATCAACGTCTGAATCAGTGGTGAAGAGAAGATTTTTGTCACTGGAAGATCTTCAACACAGAAGTGTGAATTTTCCATCCACACTTAAGTCGCAGAAAGCTAAAATGTGCATTTTTAAATGAACTATTAGATGCTGCACTGCTTATTTTTGCAGTATTACTTCTATTTGCACCTATTTATGTTCCAGTATTGTTATTGTTATACAAAGTTACAATGTGGCATCATTTTTCAGTTCAAGTCAACTCATTTTTATATAGCCCCGATCGCAGCAGTCACCCAAAGGCACCAGGCTTATGTGACTGAGTTGTGACACAATCCTACACCATTGATACAGGCTTAGTTTTTTTTTTTTTATCATACCCATAGTACTTAAAATGCATTAAAACAAGACAGTGTGAAATGATGATCTGCTGATTTAGCAGTGATTTCCTAGCAGCGCATTATGTGAAAAACCTGCATCTACCTGCACGCTGCTGGTTATATACACTTCTAATGTTAAACCTCAGGTATAATTATCCAAAAACTAGTCGAGCCTAAAACTGAAGTTAAAAATATCAAGAAATCACAATGAAAACGAAGCCGCATGATAAGCAGTGCTGCAGTAGGTTATGGAAAGCGGATTAGAGAGCCCAATGCAACACTCAGGTATATACCACAGGACAAATATATCAGGTACGGTTAAGATATGTATGACAGTATTCAATTCCATATTATATCAACAGACCATCTATGATATATTTATCTATCATCGCGTCTTTTTATTTTTATATTACACTGTCTTGTCCAGTACTTCGCTACAAAACTCCTATCTCCTAAACAGAGTAGAAAATGCAGTTTCCTCTCACATCACATGACCCAAACAGAAAGAGTAATCAGACAGCAGCGACACCTCCAGCCCGGAAGACCAAACTACATCGTAGTTACAGTGTATTTCCGGGACCACATACACTGTTTTCCGATTTGCAGAGGTGGTCAGTCTCGCAGATTGCAGGATCGGTTTGCATGCATACTGATTGGAATTGACTGCTTAATCAGTGTTCATCTAAAATCTGCTGTTCCTAATGTATCACCAACCGGTGCTTAAAAACCGACGGACTCTGCTAGAAAGAGCGGAGAAGTTTGTGTCTGATGTTTACTTCACCGATTGCAACCTCCGAGGAAGGTAAACTGGAAAAAAGCATCCGTTGAGTCTTGAAGCACACGTGTGTTTTGCGAACCAGCTGTCAGTGAGGTTTGTCATATCTGCAGCACATTAACCAGAAAATTAAAATACACAGTTGTGCTGTCGGTTGTCATATTCTCACGTAGTTTTTTATTTATTTATTTTTAAATCATTGTCATATTGCATCGTGCCAGGAAGATATTAATGTATATTTAAATTAGTTTCGCGTAGATGATTCCTAAACACAAGAGATGTTTGCTTTTCAAAACACCATCTTTATTTCAGTATACTGGATTAATTTTAGATCAGTTAAATATTTAATAACCGTATTTGGATGTGTTGAAGTAAATAAAAAGTTTAGTAAGAATTTATATTATAATTTTGCAGGTCTCTTTAGCTATAAAAAAATGACAATTTGCCTTGAACCTTTGCCCTGTGTAACAACCAAGTTAATCGCAATGAAAGCCCCGCCTTATCAGACAGTGATGCAGAACGACTTCTGCCCCACTGTGTGATATGCCTGGTTGCCTAAGTGTTGGTCTGTTGTTAGGGGCACTAACTGGGTCGCAGGCATCCTATGAAATCTTTTCAGCAGCCCGTCACTTTGTGTGTAGGGGTGCTGTCCTCCTCCTGTTCAGACCCAGGAGCTTACAGAGCTCCCTGAAAATCTGGGCCTGAACACTGCACCCCTGGTCACTGTGGCGCTCCTTTGGGATTCCAGAGCACACAAGAATGCCTCTCGGGAGGTGGACTAGTATGGTGCGTGCTTCCTGATTGGGGATAGCATATGCTTCAGGCTACCTCGTAAAACAGTCAACTGCTACTAATACGTAGCGTCGGGGGTGCAATATCCCACGGGCTTTTTCTTGGCTACGCAATTGTCACATCTTCCACATAAAGTTGAGATGTCTTGGTGGTTCCTCCCCAGACAGAACCTTCTCTAACGTTAAGGTTTTCTTAAAGCTGAAGTGCACTGCCTCTGGAGCTCCATGCACAGCCTTTAAGCCCTTTTCATGCAGTGCTGCTGGTATCACCACCTGCCAGTGAACATGGTCCCCAGATGAGTGTCAGGCATGATGCAGTGCACCTTCACAGAGAATCGGGGAGTCCCACTGCCCAAGCAGCATTTTGCTGCTGGCGACAAAGGAACTAAGTCCATGCAGCCTGGCCTTCTACCCTTTTGCTTCCAAAGGATCACTGGACCCAGGACAGCATCTACTTCCTGCAATTGCCACAGCTCCTTCTTGGTCACTTCCTTGTTGGGCAGAGTGCAGAGTCTGGACCTGTGCTGCCTCCCTAAGGTGATCATCACTTTTATCCTGATGGGCATAGTTTGGAGCTGAAACCCCTTTAGAGCTCCAGTCCATCAAGTGACCAGCATCTCTGGTTTATTAAAAGTCACCTGTTAATGGAGAAAGTCATGGTCCTTTCTCAGCTTGACTGGATGGCGCAGGTAAGCATGGGAGTGTCGCACAGCCTGCAACACTGCTAGCATCTCCCGTCGAGTCTTGGTGACTCAGGGTTCTGCTGAAGTAGGGTACAACACACTCTCCTTCACCTAGCTGTGAATACACTCCACCGCCGCCACTTATTGGCATCTGTGTCAGGAAGGAAGAGAAGATCTGGCTTGGAAAGAGCCGGACTGTGAGACTGAATGCTGCAGATCTCCATCTTATAAGCTAACTCTGCACTGCCTCCAATTTACCCGGGTCAGCTGACAAACTCTGCAACCCCACTTGTTCAAGGAAGCGTATCTCTTTACAGCAGGGAGCATTTCCTGGAGTTAATTGGCTTTGTTACAGCAGTTTTTAGACACTGAAATACATTATGCACATTTGCTATGGCTTAGCGGAAGTCGATGACTTAGAAGTCATCGAATTCCGCTAAGCCATACCCAATGGCCAATTCTGGTAGACCAGAACCACATCCAATTTGATTATGCAGCTATATTGATGAAGTGGATTCAGCACTTCATACTTTCAAACTTCATCAAACTTTTAAAAGCTGCTGGTGCATTGCACTGCCAAAAAGCATTAATGTACCAGAGGCTCCAGCCAATGCAGAAAGCTGTCTTGGGCCTGGCCTCAGTTGTCAGTTTCATCTGCCAGTAACCACTCCGGAGGTCCAGAGATGTAAACCACAATGAGCCAGCCACACAGATCAAGGTATCATTAGAGGAAGCGACCAGGTATAGCCTCAGCTGACCATCTTTGCGAGTCACTGGAACCGCGGGTCACGTCCAGGTGCCGTTGCTGGTCTGAGTCACTCTAGCCAGCTTTGCCTCCACTTCTTGAGCCTTTGACAGAGGCAGCGGTCAGGGCTGCTGCCCAATCGGAGCCGCTGCCCAATCGGAGCCGCACTGCCGGTGTCAGTCTAGTGTTGCAGGACACCATCTGACTCTATAGATGCTGCAGCTGAAACCTTGCCCTCTGGGGGGCAGTGTTGGCCCAGTCACCATTTCCCCATCATCTTAATAAAATCTTCCCTGTTGCATCCCCCGACAACTGGCTCCTCTTCATCCACAGGGGAGCTATTTATGCTTTTTGGCAATGAGTCTTCCACCTTCCTCCTCTCCCCTTGTCTTAGGGTAAGTGCTGCACACTGCTACCATCAGGTAATTCGAGGTGCGTTTACCACATCTTAGTGTGTGTTCCCAGCTTGATGCTTCTGTCTGCAGAGCAGATCTTCCCTCTCACCAGTGTTTCTCTCTATAGTTTACCAGTGTCTTTTTGGTGCCATCCCACTTCTGACACTGATGTAACGTACAGCAAGTCAATGGCACTGAAAGCAGAGAATAGTTTACCACAACAGGAACTACATTCAGATCACTTTCTGTGTGTATACTTGCATTGCTTGGATGCCTCTCCTGCCCCTAGTGTCCTCTTTCTTGCAAGGCAAAATATGGTCACTCTAACAAAAGTATTATTGTGTTTTTTGTTTCCAAGAATATGTGTGGATCTTGTGACATGTCGTTTCTCTTGTAGACTTTACGGAGAAACATGCCCTGTGGAATCTCTGTCGTCTTTCCTGACTCCAAAACGTATGTCGTACTCTGAGGCATTACTACAGACCTTTCAACCATGCAAGGTTGGAGACGGCTTTGGGCCTACGTAAGTGCTGTGTGAGAGGCTCTTTGCAGAGTAAATACATTACGTGCAACAAACCGTAAACCTTATTCTTCATATAGCTTATGCATCCTGTCTTATTGCATTGATGTTAATAGAAAAATTGTCAGCTAGATCTGCTGTGGCAGACTGGAGCAAAGTACTTCAAATGAAGAACGATGCAGAAATGGGTACAAGTGTGAATGTTATAATACTGCACTGAGTGTCAATCTTCCATCCCAGACAGAGTCTGAGAGCCAAAGTTTCCCGGTAAAATTTGGACAGGCTAATGCTAATGCTAACCCACCGCTTTACCCCCACTGCTGTGATCTTAAGATGGTGGACATGCTGGTTTAAGGTGTCCCTGAACATTCCTGAGGCCTGGGAAGGGAAGGAGGTTCATTTTCGATGGGAGATCGATGGAGAGGGAATGGTCTGGAAGGATGGGCAGCCTTGTCAGGTTGGCAGATAAGAAATTGTTTCAATACCACCGAACACAATGGTACCAAAAAGAGTTGCAATCCATCAGTCAACCAGTGTTTTATTATTGCTTTGTAGCTCTAGTGAAAATCATTTATATCTGAATCATAGGGGCTAACAAAGGAGGGTGAGAAGACTAGCTTAGTCTTGACCACAAGCCTCAAGAATGAGGAACCTCACAGGTGAGTTGCTGCTCAGACACAAACATGGCAGTGGATGAGTAATTGTGCAGGTTGTGTGGATTTGCGGTACATTATTGACATCTCTCTGTCTCTCTCTGCCTCTCAGTTTCACCCTCTATGTAGAGATGGCTTGTAATGGCCTGTTTGGGGCTGGGAAGGGATCCATGATCGCAGCCCCTGACCCCGACAGGATGTACACCCTCCAAAGTGCGGAGCTGGTTGTGTTTAACTGTGATACCAGAGAGCTGCTGACGGACTTTGAGATGCTCATCGATGTTGTAAAGGTCTAAAACACCTCCCTTATTCACAGTGTTCCACATACTATCTGCTCTACTTTGTTGTCGTGTCCTCTCTACACTATTTTCACGCCTTTAAGATTGCTTACCCTTAAGTATTTTGCTATAATATTAGTGCCACACTTTTCCTTTGTAAGGGATAGAGGTAGAGGGAGCTTGTGTGTGCCTGTTAAACACCTTTGGGTTTTTTTCCCTTGTTTTTCATGTGTTATTAGATGCTCGGGGAGGCCGACCAGCGAGGCTACCAGGCATTATTCACAGTAAATGAAATGGTGAATGTCTGTGACCCAGCCGATCCCTCCTCCTACCCTGCAGCTCGCAGCCTGGCCCTGAGGTTCTTTAGCCAGACGAATGGGCAAAGTCAGCACACTGTCCACGCCATGGGCCACTGTCATATTGACTCAGGTGTGGTTTCCTCAAGCTGGAAAGAGGCAGGGCATGTATTTAAGTGGTAATCATGGGTACTTCCTTCCTTTGAGCTGATTGTGCCATGCTGTCATGAAAGTGAATTGGCGGGGTTTCCAGCCACTGGGTTACACGTCAGCTGGCCAGTTATCAAACGGATGCAGTGGCATTGTGCAGAGTTGAATGGGGTAGAGAACCAGGAAAAATACAGTTTTGTTATAAGTTATAATTACAATCTCCTCCTTTTTCCTCACAGCCTGGCTCTGGCCGTACGAGGAGACGATCCGGAAATGCGCCCGAAGCTGGGTGACCGTGATCCGCCTGATGGAGAAGAATCCCGACTTTGTTTTCACCTGTTCACAGGTGCCATAGAATGTAATCGCACGGACTCCTCCAGTCATTCCCACCATGGCTCTTCTCACTTGTCTACCCTGTGTGCTTCGTCTCCAGGCCCAGCAGTTTGAGTGGGTGAAAAACTGGTACCCAGGACTGTTTGCTCAGATCAAGACCTTTGTGGAGAGCGGCCGGTTTATCGTAGTTGGAGGAACTTGGGTAGAAATGGTAATATCCACATTAAGACTTTTACTGCCCTAAATACTGAACCCACAGTGCTTATGATACCTGTAGCCACACCTGCGCTGTTGTCACTCCAGGATGGCAACCTGCCGTCAGGAGAGTCCATGGTTCGCCAGTTTCTGGAGGGTCAGCGCTTCTTTCAGCAGGAGTTTGGCGTGTACTGCAAAGAGGTACAGCGGCTTAGAGGATCGATGCACCTCACGAAATTATTTATAAGCAGCTTTTATAGTTAGAGTGACTTTGATCACAGTTTGACATACTTTGGCTTGTAATACTGGGTAGTTTTCTGAAATGGTTCAGCTTTAGTACTTTGCAGATTAGTGGTAGGGACAATTATAATCATCGTTGTGGATTGAGAGAGAGATTCAGAATGACTCTTTTGCTTCTTGCTGCTTTAGTTCAGAGGGAAGGAATCCCCAAAGCATTTCTTCCTAGCATCACGAAACACAACTTTTTAATGCAACATTTCTTTTTCTTTTTCCATCCTCATTATTGTCTTCTTCAGTAAAACGTCCCTCTTCACTGTCCTTTGCAGTTCTGGCTTCCGGACACGTTTGGATATTCTGCACAGCTCCCTCAGATGATGCGGGGCAGTGGAATCACACGATTCCTGACTCAGAAGCTCAGTTGGAATCTGGTCAATACTTTCCCTGTGAGAGAGCTGCCCAGCACGGCGGCCATAGGGCCGTGACACACATTACGGTCTTCATTAATCATTTATTATCCAGCCTTGGCGAATCGATATTCTTAAAATTCTAATTAGCAAATGCAGTCATGCACCACACAACGTTTCAGTTAATGATGGACCACATATACGGCAGTAATCCCATAAGATTATACCACAAAGGAGTTGGAGAATTTCCTATAGCATAGTGTCCTAGCGCAACATGTTACTTACGTGCTTGTGGTGATGCTGGTGTAAACAGACTTACTACGCTGCCAGTCGTATTAAAGTGTAACACATACAATTATGAACAATACATAATACCTGAGAATGACAATAAACAACTATGTTACTGGTTTATGTATTCACTAGATTTACTATATATTGTACTATATTGATATATTGTATGTTATTTTAGAGTGTACACTTTCTATTTGTAAAAAACAAAAGTTTACTGCAGCCTAGGTGGCTATACCATCTAATTTTGTGTATGCCTAACGGCGCATTTCTCAGAACTATCCCTGACGTTAAGTGATGTATAACTATAAAAGATGTTTGTGTTTTTTTAGGGAATGTGTAGTACATTTGTACGTCTGATACTCTGTGACAAGACATCCATTGTTCTGATGGATTGACATAAAACTGAACTTCCTTCCCCCCCAGCACAACACCTTCTATTGGGAGGGCCTGGATGGCTCCCAGGTCCTGACACACTTCCCCCCCGGCAACACCTATGAAATGAAAGGCAAAGTGGAGGATGTGAGTCGTAATTTCGAGGACACTTTTCAGCCCCCGAAAGGGGACGCCTCTGCTGACCCTAACATTTCTTTTCTAGCTTCTCAACACGGTGAGGAATAACAAGGACAAGGGAAGGGCGAACCACAGCGCGGTGCTCTTTGGCTTCGGCGATGGGGGCGGGGGCCCCACACAACTAATGCTGGATCGACTGCAGAGAGTGCAGGACACTGATGGGCTGCCTAAGTGAGAATCTACCACACCATTTGTTATGAGGAAAAATTGCAGTGCCACCTTGACATCGGGATAACAGCGTGGTCAGAAATAGCTATAGTGCAAGGTCGAATTTTCTTGTAAAAATATGGTTTGTACACCCAGGCAGATGAAAGTCATTTTGAAAATGCTGTCGCAGCATTTCCTGGCCACCCAGCTGGTTTTTCTGGCTTCTTTTAGGGTCCAGATGTCTTGCCCCGATAGGTTCTTCTCTGAGCTTGAGGCGGACTCCAGTCTCCTTTGCACCTGGTCAGGGGAGCTTTTCCTGGAGCTCCACAACGGCACCTACACCACACAGGCGCAGGTGTGCGTGAGCCTGGACACGCTCGGCGTCTTCCTGTGGTCGTCCCTGTTGATGCCTGCGACGGTCCTTTGGGTTTTGGCCTGGTGGCAGATCCCTGTGTCTCCCTGCACTGCAGATCAAGCTGGGGAACCGGCAGTGCGAAGCCCTGCTGCATGATGTGGAGGTGGCCAGCAGCCTGGCGCAGTGCAGGAGCCCAACCTTCCGCTACCCTGCCAGCACACTGCGGAGGCTGTGGAGGTAGGCAGCAGCAGAACATTAAGAAACGTTTTGGCCTTGATCCTGATTGGCTAGGAAAAAGCAGACCTTGCTACTGAGACATCATTTCCTGTTTAGCCTTTTAAAGTAAAGTACATTGTCACTTGCATAATGAGCAGAAATGATGACTTCACTCTCAAAACAAAGACAGGAAAACTAATGGGACAGTATATGGTATTACTATTGATGGAAATACACTATATGGACAAAAGTACACGCCTCTTAATCATTGAATTCAGGTGTTTCATTCAGACCCATTGCCACAGGTATATAAAATCAAGCACCTAGTCATGCAGTCAATAGAAACTCGGCCACAAAGCGGCAGATCATGTAAAATGACAGAGCGAGGTCTGAGGCGCAGAGTCCATAAAAGTCGCCAGTGCTCTGTTGACTCAACATCTGCAGAGTTCCAGACTTCCTCTGGCATTAACCCCAGCACAAAAACTATGCTAGATCTTCATGGAATGGGCTTCCATGACGAGCGGCTGCATGCAAGCCTCACGTCACCAAATGCAATGCCAGGTGTTGGATACAGTGGTGTAAAGCGTGACACCACTGGACTCTGGAGTAGTGGAAACGTGTTCTGTGGAGTGACACATCACCTGTCACTGTCTGGCATCTGATGGACAGGTCTGGGTTTGGCAGATGCATAAAGGTGCACTCTAATGCATTCGTAGAATACTAAGGTGCAGATAATGTAAAGCATTACTCAATACACACAGACACACACACACACTCCGCTCACCAGACCACACCTTGGTTTGTGATCTTGAGGGAGACCTTGTTCCTTCAGCTATTTCCCTCATGTGGGTTCCTGACCTCTGCCCTTTTTGTAGGCTCCTGCTCCTTAATCAGTTTCATGATGTGCTCCCAGGCAGCTGTACGGAGATGGTAGTGCAAGACGCCCTTGCATACTACGACGGTATTGTGCTTGCTCGTGTGACGTTTTGTCGGAGGTTATCTGTAACAAGAACTTTAAATTTCAAATCCCACGCTGCTTCATCCTCTCAGATATCCGCAGCACCGGATGCTCTTTGCTGAAGCAGGCATGTGTGGTTCTGGCCGGGGAACAGGGTGGGGCCACAGCCGTCTTCAATTCGCTGCCTTGGGAGCGGCGTGAGGTCGTGATGCTGCGGGGCAGCACCGAGTTAGGTATGGGCCTTTGGTTTGTAGAAATTAGAGTTTTGAAGTTGAGCCATAGGTTTGTTTTATCATCCTTGGTCAGAACGGTCATGATTTTCAAGACGCCCCCTCATTACAAGTATTGTCAATTCACAGCCAGAAATGTTTCAGTGTTGAACCACAAGTGGGTGGTATCTCCAGCTCTGGCTCCATTTAATTGCCCTGCCGGTAACTGTGGTAATATAAGCTGAAAGCTTTCCATCAGAAATACAGCCCAGATTTCAATGGCCACTGCTCTGAACTCCTAGGAGAAAGGATCAGAGGTGGAGATTTCCGGTCCAGAGAGTACAAATCCAGACCAGGATTTTGAGTATAAGTTGAGTTGAGTATAAAGAGTCACAGAGTACTCAACTGGTTGGTTGAAACAAACCAACCATTTGCGCACTCTGGATCGGAAATCTCCACCTCTGGAAAGGATTCCTTTCTTAGAATTTATTATTGTTATTGAAGTAATTCTTCCTGTCTATGTCTAGATATAGATATTTTCTTTTTTTTTTGGTCAAGGCACATAACAATGAGGCTGCACTTTTCAACTACCCCAAAACCACTTCTGAACTGTTCTGAAGTTGCATGAATCGAATGAATAAACCGACTTGTTTTGCATCACGTTCACAGCCCTCGTGAAAGTGCCCAGTGTCGGCATGGCCTCTGTGACGGACTCCGAGCAGCCTGAGTGTCCTGTGTCAGTGACGGTCCAGGTATTGGTATCACACTGATCATCTTTGACCAAGTGTTAGGCTGCTCACACTGCTGACGACTCCACACGAATTTTCAGCCTGATGGCACCTACCTCATGGAAAACGGCCTCCTGCGTGTGGCTGTGGACAAGGCTGGCCGCCTGACCTCACTGTGTCTGCTGAAGGTCTGCAGGTTAGAACCTCTTTTCCTTGCACTGCTAATAAATCATCCACAATCTCAGTTGCGTTGTTTCTTCTTCTAAGTGAATTAGTGATATGGGTTTCAGAGAAGCAATTTCCGATGGCTGCTATGGAAACCAGTTCGTCATATTTGATGATATCCCTTTGTACTGGGACGCGTGGGATGTGATGGACTACCATTTGCAGACCCGGTAGGTTTTGGAAGGCACATTATATGTCTACATTATGTCATGCATAATGGACTTGCCTCACTATCTCCGTGTTTTTGTGAATGTGCACCACAGGAAGCCGATAGTGGAGCCTGCCAGGCCTGCAGTGATTGTCAGCTCAGGGGGACTTCGTGGCATTGTGTCGTTCACTCTGAAGATCAGCGAGCAGAGCTCCATAACCCAGGAGATCATTCTGGATGCAATGTGTCCCTACGTGAAGTTCAACACACAGGTTGGCACTCTGCAATGACAATGGCTCCATGAATAGAGCACATTCAGGCACGACGTAATGTTATTTTTAAACTGGAAATCTATTGATTTGTACGAGGAATAAGGCGGCTCCGCTTCTGGTTTCACTGATTGCATTAATGCACTTTACCAGCAAACAACCCCCCCCAGTCCTTCTGAGCACTTCCCCCTTTCAGGTGGACTGGGCAGAATCCCACAAGTTCCTGAAAGTGGAGTTTCCGGTGCGAGTACGCAGCCCAAATGCCGTCTATGAGATCCAGTTTGGCCACTTGCAGAGGCCGACCCACAGGAACACGTCCTGGGACTGGGCTCGCTTTGAGGTAAAGGAGCAGGCTTGCTGAAAAGCTCTGGCTGTGGCAATTCCCAGTTATTGCTAATGACTGCTTATTTTATTGGTTCTCCAGAAAGTATCATCACTATTATAACAGAGCAGTTATAAACGAGTTACTGCTCATCTCCTGGAATTTACAATGAGCGGATGTCTAGCCATTTAATTTATCTTGCGTTTGCTGTGTCCAGTTAGAAGGGTTTATGGTGGCTTGTTTGAATTATAACTGGCTGAAGTCCAAGTCTCCACGTTTCAATGTACAACTGATGAATGTACCTTTATCTCTTCACAATGGTAAACTAAGATTCTGCTCTTAAGCATGAAAGAAAGCTGTCAAAACCTCCAGGAATGTAATTGCCGTTTTCATGGCACAGGTTTGGGGCCATAAATGGGCGGATCTGTCGGAGCACGGCTTTGGGGTGGCATTGCTGAATGACTGTAAATACGGCTACTCTGCTGACCGGAACACCCTCTCTCTGTCGCTGTGAGTTCCCTGGTGATGTCATCGCATTCACATTGAGAAAACACAGCAAAGTCCCAATGCTGGTAAAATGGGGAAAAGGTTTAGCGTAGCGATATCGTAACTGGCTGTACCCCCCCCCCCCCCCCCAGGCTGCGTGCCCCGAAAGCCCCCGACGCAAACGCTGACATGGGACAACATCGCTTCATGTATGCAGTCATGCCACACTCAGGCAAGTTACCTCCTGCTCATCTGAAGCATTCCAGCCACTGGGAACTGCCGACTAAGCAAAGGTTTCCCTTTTTGTCACGTTCAGGTTCCTTCCAGGATTCTTCGGTCATCCAGTGTGCATACAACCTTAACTACCCCCTTCGACTGGTGCCCGACTCGCCCAGACTCAGCTCCTGGAGCGCCTTCTCCGTCAGCTCGCCTGCAGTCATCCTGGAGACCATAAAACAGGTATCTCCGAAACTCATCCTGACCTCCAAGCACTGGGACAAGGGCAGGAATGACACTGTCTGTGTCACGCAGGCTGAAGACCATGACAAGGCTCTTGTGGTTCGTCTGTATGAGTCCTACGGGAGCAGTGTGAGAGTGACCCTCAGCTCCTCTCTGAAACTCAGGAAGGTCTCACAGTAAGTAAGGTAGCATGTATAAGACTGAGTGGTCACTACACAGCCAGTAACTTAATAGATTCATAAATATTTATCTTGCCTCAGCTGTGATCTTCTGGAGCGTCCTGTGCCATCAAAGCCCACCCCAATCACGGCATCAGGGATCAGCCTGGATTTCACCCCCTTTCAGATTGTCTCTCTTCTGCTCTTCCTTGACTGAAGAGCCTCACAACAGAGAGGACCTCACTTTTCAACCAACAAGTGAACACCCTGGACGGCATTTTGATTTATACATAGCAAATGTAGCAATCGGAACAATTCATGGTGGAGGTGGTCTATGGGATAGGACTTTCTGCCTGTGATCGGAAGTTCGCTGGTTTGAGTCCCGTGGTTGGCAGTGTGGTTTTACAGTTGGCCCACTGAACACGTCCCTTAAGCCCAACTTGCTCCAGGGATTGAGTGACCCTGGTTTTTCAGTTTTACGTCACTTTGGATAAAACTATCTGCTAAATGAATTAATTAACATAACGAAATAAAAGCCAGGTAATGGATGAATGACTGCATTAGTAATGTATTGCTTTTAATGAATCAATAACGTATTTGTTAAAATACCAAACATTGACAAAAATAATACAGTCAATGTCCAAGTACAAAGCTGGATTCTAAGTGCTTTTTTTCTTTTAATCAACCTGAAACTGCTGCTGTCTGTACTGTTAGCTGCTCTTCCGGACTTTTCTGCTGGTCACTCCACCTTTTTTTTCTGCCCTCCTACTGTTAAAAAAAAAAATACACAAAAAATCGTCTTAGGTAATTGATACTTTCTTCTTACATAGTGTTTCATTATGAAGTTAAGCACAAAGACATACAAATTCTGGTATATTTGTAGGTCTTTACATATGCAGTAAAAGGTAGTTTCTATTTTCTAATCACTTGTGTGTGAATAAGTATGACAGTTGTGTTTGGACTGTGAGCAGGGATTGTTTGCATGACTGGGCTGCAATGGTGTTTAACATGTTTACCAAAGAAAATAATGCTCAAAGGTCTTGCCACTCCAATGGTTTTTTTAAGAACTGCTTCTGGGGAGAATTCTGTCGGAATGGATATATTTCTGGAGTAAACAAAGGAAGCCCTGTGACAACAGAGGGAGAACCTGCAAACTCCCCCCACAGGGAGCCATGGCAGAGGCTCAGATCCCGGTCCCAGAGATGAGACAACTGTGCACCACCGAGTCACCCCAATTACAGAGAGAGTCCTCTTCAATTTCCACAGTTTGTTGGCTGCTGTTGATATATATATGTATATATAATATATATATATATGTATATATTATATATTATATATTATATATATATATTTATATATTATATATTATATATATATATTATATATATTATATATTATATATATATTATATATATTATATATTATATATATATTATATATATTATATATTATA